CAACATCAGTACCTGACCTCGCTAATGCTCAATCAAATCCTCACAGCAATGTTCAACATCTAGTGTAAAGCCGTCCCAGAAGAGTAGAGGCTGTTACTGCAGCGAAGGGGGACAAATTAAAGGTTAGATATAGCTTTAGATTAGATGGTTGACTTTGATCATGTGGTCTTATATAAAATAAGTAAAACAGTTTTTTATTTCTCTTATTTGTAGACTGTGGCCGTTTTACTTTTCTTACACACATTATTTTTGCTTAATACTGCGATGCTTAATACTGGAAGCACTTTGGTAGCATAAAAAAACAAGATAGTGTTGTTACAGTGAGGTTTTTAGTTTTCTGTAAAGGTGTGAAATTTCCTCGCTAAAGTGAGACTGAAGTGTTTATTGAATTCTCTGACTGTTTTCACACCTGAAGCAGTGAGGATGTGAGGTGTGGTAGTGTTTTTCATGTTCATGGACACAGAGAGCTGTCTCCATGTGTTTCACACGTTCACTCAGATCTCTCTGTGGTGGAGTAGAAGTTGCTGTCACGTCTGTGCTGCTTTCTGTTTCACACAGAGGAGGATGGGCAAGTCTTGGTTCCTCTCAGTGTTTTTCCTGACACTGTCTCCTTTGGCGATGCTCATTTGGGGGTTAATTTCTGGAAATTCGATTAAAATACATTTGCATATAGCTTTTTTACGGTGATAAAGCCGCTTTATTAAAATCAACATCTAAGCCCCAGGGCCGGATTTAGTGATTCTGGGGCTGTAGGCCAAAGGCAGGAATGGGGCTTCCTGGATGCACAAATTTAAAGGTGCCATATACTACATTTTTCTAATTTCTTTGATTGACATGATTTATTTATACATAGGTGTTTTTCAACCTCTCTTTATCCCTCAAAATTAAACAGGCTGTTTTATTACCTTAAAGGTGCAGTGTGTAAGATTTAGAGGGGTCTGTTAGCAGAAATGTAAAATTGTATGCAAAACCATGTTTTCATTAGTGTATAATCACCTGTAACTATGAATTGTTGTGTTTTCACATAGAATGAGCCCTTCATATCTACAAAGGGAGCAGCTCCTCTTCCAACAGAGGCCGCCATGTTGCACCAACATGTTTCTACAGTAGCCCAGAATGGACTAACCAAATGGACTAAACACTGGCTCCAGAGGGCGCCTTTCGTGTTTTTACGTTGAAGTGGCAACTTGAATTTGGTGGCGCTGTAGCTCTGGTTGGTAAATGTAGAAAGAAGAATCGGTGGTTGCTGCCAGTGCTGAATGACCATTTTGTGTTGTGAGAAATTTGAGAACCTAAATTTTGATAAATCATACTTATTATTTAGCACAAGAAAAAGTGAGGGAAAGTGAATCCTCATTGTCAATGAAGCGAAAACATAAAAAAGCAAAACTGAATCAGGACAAACCGTAAGTTCTACTACACCCTCGGCAAGGGAGGGGTGAGTGAGGGGGGATTCAGCTCATTGCAATCTGCTGGAAACCACTAATTCTTACACACTGCACCTTTAGACTGATATATGTAAATGAGCTCTGTTCTGATTGGCTGCCCTGTTTTGCTGCTTATTCAAAACACACTCAGAGCTGAAGCTGAAGTTGTTATGGCATCACAGAAATAATCAATTCAAAGTGGACTGCTTTTGCAGCTTAATGTCCATATATGGACTGGATGGACTGGGGAGTGAATGGTATGTTTTAAAACTTTAACAATGTTTACATATTACTTTATTTAAAAAAAATAAAAAGTGAGGGAAGTTTGCTTTTCCATGATGTGGGCCCTTTAACTTATTTGAGACTTCGAAATCATCTTGAATAAAATCATCTACTTGATATAGTTCATATCTCTATTTTTAGATTATTGCAAGAATATTATAAGATTAATCAGCTTATTTCTAGACTTTTTCTTCTTCAGTATTTTATTTATTGAAATTATCTCACTATATTGGCAGATAATTTTGCTTGTTTCAAGCACTATTTCTTGAAACAAGCAAAATTATTCGCCAATATAGTGAGATAAAATGGAGTATCATAGCAGAGAAGCAAGTAATGAGATTACATTTTCTAGTAAGTTATAAATAACACAAATCCATTACGTTTTAGAGGAATAATTATCAACCCAAAGAATTACTTTTTTGCAGAATTACCCCAACTTTTTCATACCAGTCTGTGTAACGCAGTTGTTTCATCATGTAACAACATTAAATAATCCGTTAAAACCATGACTGAGAGGTGGGGCTGCATTAAATTTTAATAACAACAATTGCAAACAACAGCTATTTTTGAAATGTATATATTTCATAACATGAGTCATTTAACATGAACATATACAAAATATCTAATACATATTTTCATGGGGCCCTGCACCCTTAAAACGATAATTCTTCAAGGGTCTTTAGCAAAGACAATAGTCATAAATAGAACCATTGTCTTTACTAAAGAACCCTTGAAGAATCATCATTTTAAGTGTGCAGGGCCTAAAATTGTTAAGAGCTTCTATTTCACCATGCAAAGAATCATTTAAGCTTGAAATGGTTCTATATAGATCTCATGATTATAAATAGTAAAAAGAAGCAAGTACTGAAACACTGAAAAGAACCAAGACCCAGAAGGGGAACCTCATTGTGTGGTCATATCCACATTGGACAGCAAACTTACAATAACAATAAGTAGAAATGAAGAAAAACGAAATGAGGTAAGCCTGAGGTTTAAACAGAAGTAGTCTGATATGCCAAAGGAAACCACTGACTAGTGTGAGACGTCTGTCAAAGTTTGTCTAAAAAAGGCTGACCGAGAATTAAATATGGTGAACTAGCAACATGAGAACGTTAACATGAGCAGGTAAAGAACTCAGTATAGTGAGAGGTAGGTCCAGTATCCAGTCACCAACTTGAAGAGGAACTCCACTGATTTTTCAAAATTTCTGCTTAACTCAGTGGTTGAGATATGAGCAGAATCTTTCAGAGTGGCTTGATGAGATGGTGCATTGTAGAGAAACGTACCGACTCAGACTTCTTTACAGAGGTGGTGATAGGAACCGGGGGTCACCATGACTACAACACAAATACTGCCATTTTATTTACTCTCCAAAACCATTAAACCTACACCAGCAATGTTATGTAATGTTGATGGCAGTGAAATAGTGGAAAATCTTAAAAAAAATAAGTTTTCTTTGGGGACTATTTTGCCTTACAGCATCCTGCATGTACCCTTTCACCATGAATGGATTAAAACAAATTGATTAACAAGACATTTTAGGCCAAAACATTATGACATACTATCATAAAACAGTGTCTCAGATATGAGGCAGTGCATTCATAATCATTATGTGTAATAGCTTTCTGTGAGGGAGCTTTTAGAGGTGGACGTCTGGTTCCTATCACCACCACTGTGAACAATTCTGATTCGGTAAGTTTCTCTAGAACAGAGCATTTCATACCAAACCACTCAGAATGACTTTGTTTACATCTTAACCATGTAATTGTGTAGAAATTATGAAAAATCAGCGGTGTCTCCCTTTAAATACAGACTATGACAGAGTAGTGATAGACTGTTCATTAAAGTCCACAATAGGTAGGTGAACATTTAAATCTGATTTGGATCAATAGCTGTTTTTGAAATTAATCTGTAAGAACTCCATTAAACTAAACTGCAGTGGATTTACTTTTTTCCTCAGCGGTATTCCTGAAACTCCCGCCTCCACTACTACTACTAGCCAATCGCAGCGCAGTGCTTACATGTTACCATGACGACCAGAGACTCTACGGGCGTGAGCGCGTAGGAAGTGAAGGTAAGGAGGAAAACAATTCTAAAAAACTTGAATTTAAGTCTTATTTTCTAAAATTTTCAATATCTAACTTTAAACTGTTGCCTTGGAAGTTCTGTATTGTGTGTTTGTCTAGCTAGATGGTTATGCAGATTATGGTTAAACACCTAGTTAGACGCTTTAATTCAAAATATTAAAAGGGGAACTCCACCGATTTTTCAAAATGTCTGCATAGCTCAGTGTTGGGGATGTAAACAAAGTGATTCAGAGTGGTTTGGTGTGAAATGGTTGATTGTAGAGGCTCAGATTTCTTTACAGTGGTGGTTGATAGGAACCAGGAGTCGCCATGACTACAAACACAAATATAGCCATTTTATTTAAGTTACTATCCAAAACCTCCAGTGAACCTACACGCGTCGTCTGAGTTTTATATGGAATGTTGATGATGGTAAAATAGTGGAAAATCTGAAAAAAAAAACACGCTTCATGTATCCCTCCACTATGAATAGATTAAAATAAGTTGTAAAATGCGTTAAAATGTAAAATACGTTTTCGTCCAAAACTTTATCACAAAACTAATGTGCCAAAATATTGTGATAAAATTTGAATGTATTTTTTAAACATGGTTTAGTTCAAAAGACATCAGGCAGCATATTCATAACCATTTCATGTAATCACTTTCTTTGAGGGAGCTTTTAGAGATTTTCCTAGAACGGAGTATTTCGCACTAAACCACTCTGAATGACTCTGTTTACATCTTAAGCGTTTAATTATGCAGAAACTTTGAAAAGTTGGTTGAGTTCCTCTTTACGTTTAAACCCTGAGCAACAGCATATTTAACCACTTGTTCATTTGAATGTGACTTATATGTTAATACTTCTACTAAATAACATACATATCACAGTAGGTATTCATAGTTTTCTATAATAAATCTGTTCTTTTCCCTAAAACGTAGTCACTATAGTGGAGTTCCTGTCCCATTAGCCAAGGCCGCATATATGTTTCCTGTACAGTGAAGTCAATATTTTAGCGTTAATAAGCCTAAGTGCTCATGGACATGCTTTAAAGGGTTTTACTACACAGTTGCAAACTACATTTGTGCCTTGCAATGAGCAAACCTCTCAAAAAACAAAGTTAGGGATGTTAGCAAACCTAGTACCCAGTTTGAAGGCCTAATAGTGACTACAGAGCAAGTCTGGCTCATCATGTGCTAATTATTTTGCTTTCTGCTAAACAGAGGACTCATCTGAGGTTCTGTCTACAGCATCTGTGTTTTTGACAGCACAGACATGCCAGCAGCAACTATGTCCAAGGGCAAAGCTCCAGCTGGCATTTACCCACCAATAGCACAGATTAACCCTGCTGCAGACCCCCGAAGAATGCGCAGGATTATAGCTGAAGATCCAGAGTGGTCTCTAGCTGTGGTGCCCTTGCTTACAAACCTGTGTCTTCAACACATAGTGAAACATTTTGAAGGTAATCTTGGGTCTGTTACTATATGGTAGAAGTAAGTCTAGAAATTCAGTACGGTTTTCTGAAATCTTCAATGATGCTGTAGAAACATCCAGAAGTACAAAGTACAGAATTGTTTTTTTTTGTTTTTGTTTTTTTCTTGAGTTTTTCTCAATTAAACTAAACAAAAACACATTTAAACTACAGTGTAAACATATTGACATATGTAAAAGTAAAAAGTTAATGTTTTAACAAATAAATTAGAAGTTTTCTTTGTTTGTTGGTGCTGTTATTGATAAAGAAAACTGCCCTAGCCTTTCAGATTTATTACAAGTACTCTAAATAAAGGCCTAAATAAAAATAGAAGGTCTAAGAAGCAGATCTTTTAGAAAATAAAATGAGTAAAAGATTGATTATTAAGTTTATTAGTACTTGACTATTATCTTCCAAATATAATGGTAATATTCCAAATTAATACAATACTCCAATGTTTTCCACCCTTTAGCTGCTGAAAACTACATGTTGGAGGGCATTGAATAAACAAAACTTTTATTTAATTATTTATTTGAACATTTGAACAAGAGCTCACATCCTACATTTTTCTTATTCTTTAATTTTCTCCCTGATGACCACTTATGATATTTGTGTGGTTTCATCCACCAAAAACAGACAGTTTATTTTAACTTGACCTCTCTTGATGCCTTACAGTTAAACAGGCTAAACTGCTGTAGGCTGAATAGGCAGGTGTATGTAAATGCATTAGTCTTCATGACATCACAAAAGCAGCAAATTCAAAACGGAGCGTTTTTATAGCTTAGTTTCCATATATGGGCTGTGTGGACTGGGGACTGATTGGTATGTTTCAAAATTTGAAGCTACAAACTATGAACTCTTTTATTTCAAATAAGTTCAGGTTATTTCAAAATAAATGTAGTTTTCCATGAGATAGGTACTTTAAATTTTCGTGTTGGAAACAAATTCTTACACAGGCATCAGTTTCCTTATTTATATGCATATGTGTAAATGTATATTTAGAGTCTAATGTTTTTATGTACTTTTAAGATGTTTTGTATTTAAGCACTACAAGGGGGCTCCACACCAAATATTTTCACTCACCTTCGCACCTGTTTAAATGTGATGTGACAATAAAGGTGATTTGATTTGATTCATATTTGGCTTAGAAACAAAAGTCAGTCATTAAAGCATAAGTATTCAAATCAAAAGGTCTTGAAGACTAAAAAAACACATACTATGTTTGGAGTTACCTGTCATTTTATTCAATAATAAACTTATACAAAGTTTATACCAAAAGTATTTTAGACTGTTTATTCTTTACTTTAAGTCTTTGGAAAAAAATAAGTTATTAAATGCTAAATAAAATCTTGTGATTGTCTATTAAGAATCATTTTTGAAGGTAATCTGCCTGATTTGATCACTACTTTTGAAATACAAGGCATTATTCTGGATATTTAGTTTATTATGATTTTATTCTTGATGTTATACACCTTTCTCAGTTATTGTAGAGCCATCTACAGCTCATCATTCTGGACAAGTTGCACAGGGCTAGCATCATATTCAAATAATTTTACAGATGAATCTGCAACTGAACTGATTTTATATTATTGAAAACAGTCTCCACACAGTACAGCTGATTTAACTTGTTTCACTGTAACAGCTGCTGATTTGTGGTTATGCTCGGATATGTTCCAGAAAGGCCTATTCTGGATGAGCTCCTGCCTGATCAGAAGGCGTTTGTCCTGGAGAAACTTCCTCAATCTCTGCCTCTGAGTGTAACAGCCAACCTGATCAGCGAAGAGTGTTACTGGAAACGCTGCTGCGAGGGCCGCTGGGCCGTAAGCGATGTCTCTGAATATGGCCACAGCTGGAAGCGCATGTTCTTTGAGCGTCATCTGGAGAACATCATTGAACTTTTCATTCCAGACGTAACTGACCCCAAAGCAGTGCTGGACGTTGTGCCATTCTGTCAAAACTACGTGAGGAGGTTGAAGATATCTCAGCTTCTTCCACCTATAAAAGAACCGCCAAAGTTTGATGAAGATGATGCTTCAGACTCTGCCAGCGATGTGGGCAACGACAGGCCATCCATGGATCACTTTGACTTCAGAATCCTGCTGGACAAACTGACGAACTTGGAGGAACTGCAGCTGGTTTATGGGGTTAAAGGGTGTGGCATGAACTTCGAATGGAATCTGTTTGAGTTTACTTTCCGTGACTGCGAATTCCTGGCCAAAGCTCTGAAATCCTGCAAGTCTTTGAAGGTTTGACTGGATTATTGTGATTGAGTTTACTTCTGTTATGTTTACCTGAATAGAATAGCATCCAGGCCACAGGCTGGCATAGTGCAAATGCTCCACATATGGATTTTGTCTTGGACTAAATTGCAATAAGAATGGCGATTCATTATTTTAGTCCAGGTTTAGGCCTAATATCAAGCAAAAAAGACTGGCAGTTAGTGGGGCTTTCTGGACAGATACATTTCTGGACGGATAAATCAATGTGATGATCAGTTATTAATCTCAGTGTTACTGAGCTCTGCTAAAGCCTGAGTAGACTGATAAATCAATGTGATCATCAGTTATTAATCTCAGTGTTACTGAGCTCTGCTAAAGCCTGAGTAGACTGATAAATCAATGTGATGATCAGTTATTAATCTCAGTGTTACTGAGCTCTGCTAAAGCCTGAGTAGACTGATAAATCAATGTGATGATCAGTTATTAATCTCAGTGTTACTGAGCTCTGCTAAAGCCTGAGTAGACTGATAAATCAATGTGATGATCAGTTATTAATCTCAGTGTTACTGAGCTCTGCTAAAGCCTGAGTAGACTGATAAATCAGTGCATTGGTAGTGGACTCATTTCATTTCATGGAATGATGTTGCATATGTTATTAACTAATGATCACCTATCTACCCACTATATCAGCAAAATTTTCTTATTGGATATGGCATTCGGTTTTTGGAGACCATGAAACAGATGGTAGTCCTGCTAGGAGGATTGCAGTATTCTATATATATTCTGAACGTTACTTTTTCGTGTCCAGTACTGAAATACGTTTCTGAATATGTTTATTACAATGTATTCAGAGCAGTTCTGTACAAAAATGTGGGCACCCCCAATAAAATGACATGTTTTTGTTGATTTTCTAAGTGCAAATGCGTTAACACATCCTCTACAGAGAACACACCTCTACACATTTTAATGAACAATTACTGTTTGTTTGCTGAATGATTGGATATTGGACATATTGGAAAAAAAATTATGTTGCAATATATATATGCAAAAGTTATTTCCCATTATGTTAAACTCAACAAATATATAGAAATGTGCACTGAAATGTACTGAAAGATGCCATGTGCCATGTTCCCTGTAGAGGATGTGTTTTCTTATTTTCCCTTAGAAAATCAACAAAATATGCAATTTGATCAGGGGTGATCAAACTTTTGCACATGACTGTATTCAGCCATCGCTACTGTTCCAAAGTATTCTGCCTAACTCTGTAAATAGGCATATTGATATTTGCCTTAGAAACAAACTTCAAGTATTTAAGCAAAAGTCTTTTAGAACAAAATGTCTTTAAGATAATAAAAATGAAATGTCAGATGTGTCTAAGTGACTGATATGAAAAGTTTTATATTTAGGTGATGTTTTTGCTTGTTTTTTTATTTTGTTTACCTTAACAGGTTCTCAGAATCAATCAGAGTAAAGTGGATGATGAGAAGTGTCGGACGCTCGTGAGTTACCTGCTGGACCATCCCCTCTCTGCTGGAGCTCGACCTCTCGCACAACCTCATTGGCGACAGAGGAGCCAGAGCCATCGGCAAGCTCCTGAACCGCAGCCGTCTGGAGTGGCTTGACATTTACGACAACCAGATCCAGGGTTCAGGAGCCCAGGCTTTAGCCCACGCTCTTTCCAAAAACACCTCCCTACTATACTTCAACTTGAGACTTAACCGGCTGGGGGATGAAGGTGGCCAGGCTGTGGCCCAGGCCCTACTGAAGAACAGCACCCTGCAGAACCTTAATCTGGGAGCCAACGAGCTGACGGAGCCCACAGCGACAGCACTGTCCCATGCTTTAGTGCAAAACTCAACACTGAGGAGCCTCAACTTGTCCTGCAACAGACTAGGAGTGGTGAGTGCTGGAACAACAAATTCACCCCGTTTTCCCTATACAACAATCTGCGAAGATGCGCTCATTGTCCAAGGTTTGCATCTCTCTTATTGTGCTAGAGCTACGAGGCTAATGTAGCTAACAAGTCATAGAAACTTATGTTAGCATCATACTTCACTTAAACCACATCGTTAAGTGTTCTCACATAGACTTGCTTATATGGTTTCTGGCACTGTATAACATACTGTGATCTATAAATATGGGTATACACTATATGGACAGAAGTATTGGGACACCTACACATTACACCCACAGAAGCTTTTATGACATCCCATTCTAAATCCATAGGTATTAATATTGAGTCTGTCCCCTCTTAGCTATAACAGCTTCCACTCTTCTGAGAAGCTTTCTACAAGATTTTGGAGGAGAAGAGCATTTGTGAGGTCAGACACTGATGTTGCATGAGAGAGTCTGACTCACAGTCTCTGTTCTAGTTCATCTCAAAGGTGTATGATGGGGTTGCGGTCAGGGCTCTGTGAGGGCCAGTCAAGTCCTTCACCACCAAACTCACCCAGCCATGACTTCATGGACATTACTTTGTGCACTGGGGCTCAGTCATGCTGAAACAGAAAAGGGGTCTTCCCCAAAGTGTTCCCACAAAGTTGGAAGCACAGAATTGTCCAAAATGTCTTGGTATGCTGAAGCATTATTTCCCTTAACTGGAACTAAGGGGCCTCGGCCAACCCCTGAAAAACAACCCCAAAGCTCTCCTCTGCCATTGAAACCCATTTTGTGAAGCTCCTGATGTGCAGTTTTTTTTTGCTGATGTTGCTTCCAGAGGCAATTTGGAACTCTTTAGTGAGTGATTCAACAGAGAATAGGCACTGTGCGCTTCAGCACTTGGCAGCTCCACTCTGTGAGTTTGCCTGGTCTACTGCTTCATGGTAAAGCTGTTGTTGCTCCTAGATGCTTCCATTTCACAATAATAGCACTTACTCTTGACAGGGGCAGATCTAGCAGGATAGAAATTCCACAAACTGTCTTGTGGCAGAGGTGGCATCCTATGACAGTGCCATGTCTATGTGCTTAATTTTATCCTCCTGTTGGTGATGGATGTGGCTGAAACACCTGCACTTAATAATTAGGATATTAATGCTGGGGAGCCTTCAGGGCCTTCCATGCCTCTAGAGAATTTGTAGTTCATTGTTATTTAATAGAGTGTTCCTTTGTATTGTATTTAAACACTAAAAGTATTGTAGCAATACTCTTATACTGTTCATTTTTGGTTGGAAACAAAAAGGTTAAAATCTTGGACCACTCATAGAAAAACTATCCGGTCAGGATTGTTTTCTTTGTGGTATCTAGGTAGATACAGCCAAGCAGGCTTTCCCATTCATCAGCACTTCAGAAGCTGAACTGAAGGCCTTACATGTCAAATTAACTATGAAAAAAACAGAAAGTGATAGAGGAATCAGGAAATCACATTTTGATTTACAGTGAAGGTCACTTTAGGCCCTCTGGAAGTTCTAGATATGTCACTGAGTGTGAATACGAGCTGTAGTTGTTAGGAATGGAAAACAGGGGCGGCAGCTCTGTGCCAGGGGTCTTTACTGAAAGAGTCACTGTAAAACTGATACATAAGACATAACACTTATGGTAATGTCTGTTACAAGCTTCAAATAAAACATATGGAATGTATTTTACAAGGTTCAAACGTCTGTGTTTAAATGTTCATGTGAATCACTGTTAGCTTAGCTTACCCCATAGGGATTGTAGCGGAAATTAGCATTATCGTAGAAGCATTTTTGATCTAGTCTTGACCGAGTTATGGCTGAACTCACATAATCATGATGGAAATCACATAATCGAGTCTATTAGAGATTAATGATGATTTAGAAATGCAGTTAGCACCATGCTAATTGGGGGGTATAAGTTGTATTACTTGTTAGCCACGTTAGCCTCATAGTTGCAGTGCTAAAACTAAAGCAAATTCCAGACACCAAACATGCCTTGGTTGAGTGACTACATTAAGGGTTAAGAGGCAAAAATTGGATTTTTTGCTTTAGGAGGATTTAAGATTAGCCATGTTTGAAATCTGACATGGTTCTTAGCCATATGCTAATAGATTATGAGCTATACCTGAGTGAATTCAGTTTTTAATGTGATTCGGCTCTTTGCAGTGGCTCAATTTACAAACTCGAACATGAAAAGGTTCCCTCTCATCGGTCTGACCGTAAAGCATGCTCAATTATTCATGGAGCCGGGACAGAAGTGCACTAACAGGCCGAGCTGTGGAAGGGGATTACCACTCCCTGGGGGTCTCATCATCTCTATTGCTTCTTCACTGGGGTCTTCTACCCCCCCATTTCCGCTCGCTTCTAATTCAAAGTAAATTGTATTAGAAATAATTGCTTCATTCAGGAGAAAGCTCTGGCTCCTTTGTCAAGAAACATTAGACTGCTAGAATCGTGATGTCTAGCCCGTGTGTACCCAGAGTGCAGAATATGATCTGCTTGGTCATCGCTGTGCTCTGACCTTGGAACACTGTTCTGCTGCTGTGAGTGAAAAAGCCTGTCGCTTAACTGGAAGAAAAACAAATGTTTACAGTGTATTCGGGCGATGCCACTGCAGGTGTCCATCAGCATAGAAAAACTGACCTGTTTAACACTTCATTACTCTATATTTTTTACCATTTTATCTTTTCTGTTTATACACGAAATAATCCAGTTCTTGAATTAGGCTATGGACAAAAGCTGACTAAAAGTATAACACCCCCTAGTCAAATTACATGTTTTATTGATTTTCTAAGTTAAAATAAGTTAACATATCCTCCGCAGAGAACAATTTTTAGCGCACAATTTCTATTTATTTGCTGAGTTTATACATAACATGTTAAATGTGCTTTAAATTTGGTGCATGGCATTTTGTATGTTTTTTTTCCAATATGTTACATTCAGCAAATAAACAGTAAGTAATTAAAGGATCCCTGTCATGGAAAAAAAATAGTTTTTTAAATCCATACAGTCCATATATGAAAGCTCAGCTACAAACTACTGCCCATATTGAACTCACAAAAAAGTGATGTCACAAAAACTAAAGCATTTACATATATTTCTGTATTCAGCCTGCAGTTTACCTCCACCCACTCACGCTGAAGTTGTAAGGAGTGTTTCAACCTTCAAGGACTGCTTTTTGAATGAGGCATAATACAGGAACACCAATCACAACATAGCTCATTTGCATGCATCAGTCTTAATGACATGGTAACAAAAATAAACTGTTTAATTCTAAGGGATAAAGAGAATTTGGAAATTAATTATGATTATGATCATTTTTGGCACATAACAACACACATACGTTATAAGTGAACAGAGAAAAATATAATAGACATACAAGACAAATATAGTATATCTGCTGTCGAGACAAAACCTTGTATCTCTACAAGGTAGTTTTTCTTTTTTTTTTTTGATAAAAGGTCAACTGGCCTTTTCAAATGATTATGTATCAACATTTCATGCTAAACAGACCAACAGCAACAGTCCAAAATTACTTGGAAAAAAATATTTATCCATTTACTTCTCTGAATGTTTTTCTTTTCCTGTGAAGTTGCCTTTTTGTAGGTGGGTGAAGGTTTTGTTCCAACAGCAGTGATTTGGACCTTAAAATAATTAAAATGTGCAGAAGGGTGATCTCTGTGGAGGATGTGCTGACTTATTTTAACTTAGAAAATCAGCAAAACATGTAATTTTACCAGAGGTATTCAGAGTTTTTGTAATTCTGCCTTATTATAGTAAGTATTAGAGTATTGTCACGCCTTGTATGGACTGTCTTAGTGTTACGGACTATATTTCCCAAGACACCTTGGGAAATCACGTGACGGCGGACTTCCCTGTAGAATCGGAGTCCCTCATGGACTCCATTACCCAGGAGTCAAGCGGTGATCATGTGATCAGTGACGATCAGCCTCGCACCTATCAGCGCTCTCAGTCACCAGAATATTGAATGGTTTCACCTGTGTGTTTGTAATATGACTAGTTTAGTGTAGTATATAAGCTCGGGCTTTAGAAAGGGTTCTTTGCGAGGAATTGCTTCATTATTGAACTTACTGAGCGGTTCTTCTGTTTTGACCCACTCTGTTTATTGACGCCGATCTTGTTTCTTCGACTCTGTTTTTGCCTAACCCTTTTGTACCTTTGCTGGATTTTTTGGATTTGTGATTCTGAACCTTTTTGCCTGCATTTTCGACTCTGTCTTTTGTCTTACTCTCTGGATTTTGTTTGCCTGGATTCAGGATTGGTGGAAGAAACATCAATGACCTTTGATATGTGATGATAAAACACTCATCACAGGAAATCTGGAAGACCTGAAGGCCGTTACAAGGAAGGTTAAAGAACATGAATTTTAAAGAAAGTGAATTTGTGATCATATATCACTTCCTGGTTTTGACCCACGCTTGTACTTTGACTACGACTCTGCCTGGTGTAAATAAAGCCTGTCTTCTCAATTTTAACCACACACATCTGAACTTCGCTGAATGGTTACAAGTATTAAACACACAATTTCCTTAATGTCACATGCCAGTAAAATTATACTTAGGATCAAACAACACAGATTAGAACCTTACATGGAAAGAGAACTGCAAGACATTCAGGAACGGCAGAGGAATGTTATTGCGGATGTATGCTCGATCATTAAAAAAGAAAAGGAATTCAAGAAGAAGATCAATATGTGTTTCACTGACTACAGCAAAGCCTTTGACTTTGAAATTATGGAATTTTCTCTGTAACATGGGAAATACCAGAGCATCTCATTGTTCTGATGAATCTACACTGATCAACAAGCCACGGTCAGGACAGAAAATGGACAAACAGAATGGTTCCACATCGGCATTAAATTAGACAAGGCTGCCCACTGCCACCTTACCTGTTTAACCTGTATGCAGAACATATGAAAGAAATAGGACTAAAAGAAGATAATTAAGGATTCAGGGTTGGTGGAAGAAACATCAATGACCTTTGATATGTGGTGATAAAACACTCATCACAGGAAATCTGGAAGACCTGAAGGCCGTTACAAGGAAGGTTAAAGAACACAATGGTTAAAGAAAGTGAAAAGATAGGATTTCAGCTCAATATAAAGAAGACAGGAAAGAGCACTGTGCAAAAATGTGGATATAGTAGAGTCTACACGGATCAATTTTTAACAACAGAGAATCCAGCACTCAAGCAATACGGCACAGATTGACACTCAGCAAACCAAGGATGAAGGAACTTAAAAAAAATCTTCAAATGCAACAATTTGTCTCTATAAACAAAGACCAGAGGCCGGCTTCACGAAAGTGTCTTAAGAACGAACATCTTAAATGTGTGCTTTTTCTTGACTTCATTTTTAAGAGAAAACCTGAGAAATTATGAGAAATTGTTATTCTTCAAGTAACTTCTTACAAATTGTTATTTTCTTTTAACTATTTTCTTAAGAACAAGTGAAGTGTTATATTGTATGTATTATAAGTGGTATTCTTGAAAACATTCTGTTTTTAAATGTTTTCTTAACTTTATGATAGCCTCAAACTCACCTAAAGCTGTAAGAGCTGATGAGCTAAGCATCTAAATTTATCATTTAACACGGACGCTGCCTCTGCTACTCCTGCCCATCTGCGTCTGTCACCCCACAATTATCATATATTCCAATGAGGATTTTTTCCTGGTGGCTGTGTCTTGCACCATCACTTCTAGTTCTTGTTTGCTAAAATGTTTTAAACGCTTGATCTGATGTTTTTCCGCCATTTTGCTCCTCGGACTGGATTAAACTAAATAATGGAAATGACAGTTAATACAAATTCAAAATGCATCTTGCCTCATTTATGGTATGTGGTAAAATGCAACACAGAATACATAGGAATTAAGATTATTTTAAGAGAATATTTGAGAACTTTTTACTTTTTTTTAAGAACTGCATCTGGCGAAGACTTTTAAGAGAACCTTGGACGGCAAAGAAAACAAACAAATGGGTCCTCATCTAAATCAAGCCTCACCTCTCACTCGAAGACCAGATTACCAAACTGAAGCTCTTATTTTGGACACATTCTGAGAGTAATCAATTCAGTGGAAAAGACAATTATGCTTGGAAGAGAAAGAGGAAGAGGATGACCAGCTAGAAGATGGATGGACACAATCAGAGGAAACGTGAACCAGCCATTGAGAACCTGAAGAACCAAACAGAAGACAGACTATTTCTGGAGAAACACTATCCAGGAGTCAGAAATGGCTTAATAATATAAACCATGGACAAAATACTTATTTGACGATTATATTGCTGCATACTGTGATTGTGATATGCCTTGTGATATATTTAAACACACTGGAATCAATAATGTTACAAGATTAAAGATCGGTCTGCATTATTTTAGCCAAAATAATTAACTTTCAGTGGATTACATACATACCTTTATTTACAGGGAGAAAGGAGTGGGTGACATTCAAAGTCCTCTATCAAAATATACATTTTTATTGAATAAAATAAAACAGTTATTAATGTTACAAGTTATTTCAAACTTCTGAACAGTAGTGTTAAGTATACACTAGCATGCATTCCACCTTTGTACAGTGTAGAGCAGTAATGACTGGCAGCCAGTCTAACCAGACGTCTAGATGATGTGCTGTATTGTCTGTATTGTCTGTGTTGTTTTGCTGCTGTGCAGGATGGAGGGAAGGTGCTGGAGGAGGGAATGTCTCACAACAGCAGCCTGCTGGAGTGTGATATCCGCCTCACTGATGTTGGGCTGGAGAGTGAGTACTGCATCGGACAGGTCCTGCGCACCAACCAGGCTAAAGCCCGCCGCAAACGCACGCAGGACCTCGCTGCCTCCAAATGAACCACCATGAGTGTCAAGTATGCTTCATTTATCTATGAAAATCACACTGAGAAAAGGAAACAGAACAAAAAAATTAAAATATGATCAAATCTAAAAATGAAATATAAAACACACCATAACTTTTGTACATGCCACGATTTATGTTTTATTTTTGTTAATGAAGAAAATGAAATATAAAATAGGACAAAAATGGCAAAATGTAAGAGGAGACACATACATACTATGCAAACGTTAGACCTTCATTAATTTAATCTTCAGACAAAACAGGACAAGATATTCATGTTTCAGTTTTGGAAAAAAACTTTACACAGAAGCCATAACATCTAAATCTAATATGACATGTCTGAGTGTTGAGTGTGTCACTCTTTACCTTTATTACAGCTTCCATTCTTTTCAGGAGACTCACTTTCAGTTCCTCAAAGAAATCTGCAGACACACCTCCAAAGTTCAGTCTTAGAAGCTGGTTGATCATTTTCTGAAGTAATCAAACACATTCAGTGGTGTTGAGGTCTGGACTCTGGGGTGGTCAGTCCATTGTTCAGCTTCTTTGTTTGATGTGTCTCCTTTTCTCAGTGAGGTTCTTCTTGACAGCTACACATCCTTTCAGACCCATAACACTGAGTTGTCTTCTCACAGTGGAAGGATGGACAGAAACACCTGTGGATGTTTTCAGATCTGAAGCAGCTTGATTTTCTCCTCTCTCTCAAAGATGAAAGCTTTAAGTGCTGTTTATCTGATGGGGACAGTTTTGGTGTCTACCAGGTCTTCCAGGTGGTTGTTAGGAGTACTTGGCTGTTTTGACTGGAAATTAAGTAAATGAATGACATTTGCATACTGAAAAATTGCTTGTGGTGAATTCTTTCTTTAGAGGTTTTGCTGTTTAGTACAGAACTCTTACAGTGTAAATCCAAAAAGGGACTTCTTACATTCATCAGAATTTAGGGTGTTACGTGTGTATACATATATTTTGGTGGTATATAAGCACTGTAAATCATAAACTGCCTTCAAAAAAGGTTTTGCTAAAATGGTTCTGAAAATGTTTTCATTCTTACATTGAGTGTGTTGACATGCACTCAATAATCTGATCAAAATCTGATTTCTGCAGTTATCTGATTATTCAAATGGTAATGTAAATGGCATACTTCGATTTTTTAAGTTGGAGTACGGCCTAGAAATCCAATTAGGAAATCTGATAAAGAGCGCTGGATTTTAGCTCAGTAATCAGATTTCTCAGTGCATGTAAACTCTTACTCTGATTTCTTCGGATTTCTCTGCACAAAACAAACCGCGGTACCAGAAATAAGCAGTGTTGCTGTGAAATGGCAGCAAAACACTTTTGGGACGGCGCTGAAACCAAATACATGCTTGATGAAATGAAGAATTTAAATATTCTTGATCTTCTTGGTGATGTATGTTCATATTTTCAGGTAAAGTGGTGTGATGTTTAAAAAAAAAAGCTGTGGCCAGTTTGAGGTTTACATTATGTTTACGTCACTTCTTCTTCTGTGAGTTTACTGGCTGGTAGTAAAGCTGAAATCTGATTACTGCGTGACTCATGTAGATCTGGAGATTTGCCATTATCTGATTACTCAAGAGCAAATCTGATGTGTCAAATCTATACAGTGACTTTGCTTAAGTGTAAAATGAACACATTTTTTCTCAGAATGTTTTGCATTTTGCTTATCTGTGTAATATAATGTGTAAAACTGAGCTTCTACAAGACTTTCATACAGAAGCAAAACACAAACATTTGTTCAGACAAGGATGTTTCATATGAAGCTCATTTGAATCAGAACAGATACTGCTTTATTGAGTTTTCTGCAACTTTGATACATGTTTGGCCTCAGATGTATTATATGCCACATTCTGTAAAGGCAACATTGTGTTTACAGATTTCATGTATGTCGATTAGCTTTGTGCACATTTCTAAACAGAATACATGCTGTTCCACGCAGTCTCCACCAGCAGGGTTTCAGTAGCTGCTCATTAGCAGTTATTAGTATTCGTAATATTCTGGAAATATGCAATAGGCAGTGAAATGCTTTTGGAAGTTTCCCAGAAGGCCTGAGTTCCACCAACAAATTGTAAACCAACATATTTTACTCTGACTGGTTGTAGTGTGCTTGGCTTTAGTAATATCGGTTTGTCTACTCTGCCACTTTCTCCTGTCCTGCAGTTTACCTGAACGGTGACTACTACAGCTGTTTCGTTATGATGCTAACTATGTGACGATCATGCACATCTGCATCACAGTCAGTGTACCAGTGGCCACAAATAGTAGTATGTTGTTTAACAGTTTAATGCATTAATTCAAACTATTAAGAAAACATTTTATAGCTTGCTTTTATGGAATACCAAAAAAACACATAAAACAACTTTTTTTTCTGTGCACACATTTTTAGCACATCACAATTAGATACAAAGATTACTAAATGTTCGCCAAATAAGAATCATTTAAACCACTGAGATGGTCAGTTAAAAGTTCATAACAGGCTGCAGTTGGAAATCCAACTGAATCCCACATTTTGCTCCTCCTAGATAGCCTACTAGGACTGTTTAAGGATCTCATGTGCTTTTTGGAATGAAGAAACATTTATGTCAAGGATATACAATCGTTAAATATGTCAGTTTGACAGACTGAGCTGAGTTTTAAAATATTAATTCGTCTTGATTCTCACTGTGGAAAGTTTACGATGAGCAATTTCATGAGCTCTTCGTGAAATAAGCACCTCCTTCCCAAAAATGGCATCACTGATGTGGCATATCTAGGAATGAAGCTACTTTTGGACATGATTAACTCTGAATCTTAAAGCGACAGTTCAACAAAAAAAACTAATTTACACAATCTTCCTACAAATGGAGTCCATCAGCCAGAACATGTTTGGTATCTGAAGTTTTGCACTGTCATTATGAGGCTAATGTAGTGGAACCTTATGTACACCAATGTCAATACATTAATTCAACCTCAAAATTTGATGCAAAATGTAATATCATTTTGTTTGTCCTGTTTGATTTTTGCCAACTTTCACAAACAATGTGTAAGGTAATTTAGAAGAGATTTGGAGGGCCTTCTTGGTGTTTTTTGTTAAATGTTACAATTGTACAAATGGTATTACTTGCTATTATGATATCCTTTCAGAAAAGTGTGTTGATTTAACCATGCAGTTAACACCATGCTAATTGGTGAGGTATAAGCTTAGCTACATTAGCTTTGTAGCTCTAATACAAAAACTGAAGAAACAAACTTCAGACATCGAACATGTCTTGTCTGATTAACTACATATGGAGTTGGGGGGTGGATACATTTCATATACATTTCATTTTTGGCCAAAATATTACTCTAATAAGATTCTGAATCATTTCTCTGCTATTGATTCTACATTCCTGCACTAACTACCATGATCTCCCCATTGAAATACAAAATTTTCATTGGTATTTACAGAGTGGTTCACAAAACATAATCACAGAAACCTGAGTGTCAGTTTATCAGAGTAATATTCTTCAATGGACACAGCTTCATCTCGAAGCTACTTGTTATGACAATTATTACAATGCAATAAGTAAAGTCTTAAAAAAAAGCACTGTGTTAGCACATATAGACGTGTGATAGCTGAGCATGCATTAGAGTCAGCAGTTTTTCCTACAGTGAGTGTGGAGCAACTGGTTGTGCTTTACGTTGAGCCCTTATCTACTGTAGTATTTACAGGAAGCCCAACAGTTCAGCCCGCTTGCTGTGGTTCTTTACACCATCAGCAATGCATGATGGGATACTTATGATTTGTGTATGTTGGGTTAGACTTGGCTAATGTGGAAAAACATAAAACAAGTGATATGATAGCATGTCCATTAAGAGATCATTGTAATAGGAAAACCCAGGATTTCATGACCAATGGACCAAATGGCCCAAAATTACTTGGAATAAAATCAGGTTACATTAACATACTTTACGTTTATGAATGTTTTTCTTTCTCAAATAAAGGCTTCTAAGATACATTATCTGTCAGAATGTTTGTAGACTTTAGCGTCTTAACAGGGAGTTTGTCCCTCTTTGCCACAGGCTTTACATTAGATGTTGGAACATTGCTGTGAGGATTTAATTGAGCATTAGTGAAGTCAGGTACTGATGTTGGATGGTCAGTTCTGGACACAACTCATCCCAAAGGTTTTCTCCAGAGAATGCAGTTCCACAGCCCAGTGCTGGAGGGCTTTATACCCCTCTAGTCTACACTTGGCATTGAGCATGGTGACCTTAGGCTCATGTGTGGCTGCTCCAGAGCATCCCATTCTATTGGTCAGCGCTTTCCTATTGAGATCATGCAAGCTATGTGGGCGCAATAGCTGAATTCACTTACTGTCTGGATACTTTAGAACATACAGAGAAGGTTTTCTTTCAACAGCAACAAGATGACAGACAGCTAAATAATTAGCATGAGAATTGCTCACTGTTCAATAAGAAGCGCTGCAGAACAAATTCTCAGGCGATTAACTGAACCCCTTCATGAAAACAGTCACACTTGTGTGACTGGACTGCTGTCCAGTTGAGTTATACTGATGAGCTAGCACTGATATCAAGTTCTGGCTAATAATAGCCAACGATCAAATTCTAAAGCCACATCACAAATTCAACAACCACATGCAAGAACTCCCTTCCTGAAAGCAATAATTAAAACACCACAGGGCTGAAGTGAGTAACAAAGCTCTTAGCCCCTGCGCAAAAAAGAGATGGACGATGGGTGCTTTTCCACTGCATACTAAAAAAGGAATTTCCACCTACCTGGCAGCAGCTTGAACCAATTTTTATTGTCTTTCTGGTCATTTTATGCCACTCTAAAGCACCCCATTACCTTGTGTGTTAGTTATAGTTAGCTTAGCTTTTGGGCTAAAAAGCGTTGGCTAATGTACTGCTGGGAAAAATGTCCTGCGCTATTCTGTGCTCACATTCACATAAATGTTTACATTCACACAGAATCATGTGCAGAATCAAGTAAAGCAAACAAATATTTTTCTCTGTCAAGAGTGAAAAAATGAGCAAAAACACTCGTTCAATGAAGGCTAGTTTGAATGCTAATTGAATAGTTAGCATGTATCATTTAGCGTAATTTCAAAAATAGCAATAAACACATCAACATTCCAGTCACCAGTTTGATTTCTGGTGCAGTTATTGATGGTAACAGCACTTGGTGACTTTATATTCACCTGGAAAAGTAAAAAAAAAAAAAATCGCTAAAATGTATTAGCTGTAAGTGTTAGCAAAGACAGAGGAGTCACCCATGAGCACCATTAGGCCCTGTTGGTACCAGTCATGAGCATGTACCAAAAAAAATAAAACTGGAACCCTCTGTATTGGACTGATGGCCAATGGAAAACACAGTTCCAGTTTTCTGATGCCAAAGGTTCTGGTACTTTCTGCAGTGGAAAAACGCCCATAGTGTATTTAAAAAAGCTGTCTACCTTAGATTCATGTATGGAATAATATGTCCCTCTAAAGTGTCCAAAATGGGCAGCAGTGCTGTAATGTTCCTGTTTGAAGCTCAGCATATTCTGGTATGACAGTCTATTATTAGCTACAACATAATTTGCATTTCAGTAGAAGGGTTTTTTACATTTCAGCAGATCTAGGGTTTTATCTTTCTCTTCCTTCCTCAGTCCGAGCCTAATTACCGCTCTGTATGATGATGGATCTGATGCGGTGGATGGATCTTTTAGTGGATCACATTTGCTTAATCACATGAAAAATCGGCAACATCTAAACAGCCTAACCAAAGTGCTGATACAAAAAACTAACTTTAGGCACTTAAATTACTGTAAAAATGAACAGAAGAAGAAGAAGGAGGAGAAGGAGTGGTAGTCTTAAGGAAGCAAAATTCCAGTTAAATGATTTCATGCTGTATCAAAAAAAATATTCTTGTACTGAAAACTATGCAAGATATTTAAAAAGTAAATTTATTAACAGTAATTACGATCACCAGCACCCCAGACCTTTGAATGTCTTGAGATGATGTATTCTGTTTCAACTTCTCATGTCCTTTAGCCTGCCTGCACTAAATTATTCATAGCAATGACTCCATCGTTATAAATAGGAGAGGAAGAAAAACTGTTTTGGAGATGCGATATTTACACGTGTCCAGCATTTTTTGCATTTGTTCTCTCTCTGCTTTACAAGTCAGATGTATTAGAAATAAGTGGCTTGAGGTAAAATGCCTTACATAGCTAATCTGTCCATTTATGTCATGTCATGGTTGGAAGAGAGAAAAAAGGTCAGTTTTTTGCAATTCAGCTTTTACAAAACACAGTAATTCCAGAGGCTAGACTATGCAGTTTCACGTATTCAGCATTATATCCACATTTACTTCAAAACTGACTCTAGAGTTTCCCCCTGGCACAGGACAGGGCCTATCCCAGACTTTTTACAGGAACAATTTACCACTGAACCAAAACATATGAAAGGTAAGGTTAGTGTTAAAACAGTCATCTACGAGACACAGGACTTGTATCTTTTTCCCTTCTCATATTACTGTGGACCATGACCAAAGCTAACAAGGCGAGCCAAAAAGACGAGTTTGCCTGCAGGGGACGGAATAAGCAGTATAATTTTTTCCGTCATGCTGTAGCATGATTTCTACCACCTACAATGATAGAAACATTACCATACTCTGGCTACTTATATTTTTGTTATGCATATGATGGACCTGTATTTGCTGAAAAAGTCAGTATTATCCAGCAATATGGTAATATTGTTGACTCAGACAGGCAACTCCAGAAGAAATGTGTCTTCCATTCATTATTAAAGTCTAAAGGGAGTAAATGTTTCATTATTATCCGTATCTGGGAAAGAGTTTTCATTCTGACCCAAACACAGTCCCTGAAGGTACATTCCTCAATACGAACCCGTTATATCTGTCTGCAAGATTCAAGTAGTGTTGCATTCAGTCGGTAGGTCAAGATGTGATCATACTCTTGCCCCCAACCAGAAGGTCAGTGAAATTCCAAGCAAACATCAACGCTTTGCAAACCTCAAGCATGGGTCATAAAGATGTCTCCACGCATGAGCCATTGCGATGCAGTGAGCGGTGGTCATGGTTGAGGCATCCTTCGTTGCGGTGCACTATCAGCACAGGGAAGTACAGAGCGTCCTGATAGTTCGGAGGTGAGGGTGGGTTGTCCTCCTCTTGGCCAGGACGACCTGCCAGGCAGCGTGTGCTTTCAGTGGGGCAGCCCGGATCATTCAGACTGCCGCTGTGGCTCCTCCACAGGCAGCTTCGTCTGGAGCCATAGAGTCGTCCCAGAGAGAAGCGGCTGCCGCTGAAGGGCAGGCGGGGGCTGCTGCTGTTGTTGCAGATGCTGAGGGCGCTGCGGGAGAAAATGGATGAGCTACTGATGGCCCTGTGGCAACGCTCGCAGTTCTGCCGGTAGCCGCTAACTCTGCGGGAGGAATACGTGTTGCAGGCTGAAAGCTGGGCAAGGTCCATTAACACGGCTTCTGAATAGCTGGGCACCAGCTGCTGGTTGGAACGGATGTGCCATTCCAGCTCCGTGCTGTCGATGGTGTTGACTCGAGGGATGTGCCGGCAATACGGCCGCTCGTCCAAAGGTGTGACAGGGACATAATCAAAGCCAAACAGCTTCTCCACATGGTAGTGAAGGTAAGCTGTACGGTACTCCATCAAGACCCGCAAGGGCCAGGAAAGCGTCATTGCAGCTGCAATCCAGAAAATGCAGTGCCTCGCATACCATGGCAAGTGGTCAGGGTCAGAGAAGGCCATCACATACTCCCTGAAATCCACATTTTTGAGGTGCATCCCTTCACGTGCCTCCATGTAATCGTCCAGACCTTCATTTTCTGTGAAGAACCTGGCCCTCTGCGTCAGGTAAGAGTTCTCTGACTCCACGTTGGCAAAGCTGAAGCACTTGGTGAAGCGAAGTTTGGTGATGGGGAACCCCTCCAGACCCATCAGCTGCTTGGAAATGTCCTTCACCCCGCAGTTCCCGTAGTCAAATTCAGCCTCCGCCACATGCGTGTTGACCCGCTCGTGATAAACCTGCGTGGTTGTGTAGGCATCTCCATTGCGGTAGCGGGTCACTTGCCTTGTCCGGCGTACATAATGGTAGCTAATGGCCTTCCACCAGATGCAAGGGGTGGCCTGCTGCATCCGCTGTACCCGTTCCGCTATGCTTTCAAGATCCACCTTGTACTGCAGCTCACTGTGGATGTAGCAGTGCCAGCACTCCACCAGGTAGACCACATAGAGCATGAGCAGGAAGGCCACGGGGATGTAGATGTAGCCATTGGAGCAAGGGCTTTCGTGGTACATCATCGACTTCCCTTTGAAAGCACTGTCGAAGGTGAGACGAGTCACCTTCGTAACCGAGCACCAGGTCATGGCCACCACACAGCCGTACATGAGCAAAGTGAGGAGAAGGCATTTCCAGTGTGATTCGCGGCACAGGGCTTTGCTCAGGGATTGCTTCTGGGGTCGCTGCTGGACGGGAAAAAAGGAAAGAGGAAAGAAAAGAAGGATGTGTGAACACAAGGGGTGTGAATCTCTGTGCTCACAATGATTCAATTTACAATTATTTAGGAAACAATTCAGTGCATCATGAAGCCTCCGATTTGACCACAATTCAGTTTGATTTGATTATATTTTAACACTTCTGTAGGGATGGTAGAAATGAGCCAGACAATCTTAAAAGTTTCAAATCCTTGGGAAATCTTGTGTTGGAAGTAGCAGTTTTGAAACACACAGATGATTTTGAAAATATTGTTTTTTTCTCTCCATTTTGCACTCTGTTCTGAAAGTCTGAAATATGACTGATAACTGGGTTATTTCTGTGTGCTTGGCAGTTTAGGGGGGATTTTGGAGCTGATAGCATGTATTTGAATTTGGCTTTACTTTTTCAATAAACTGTAGTGTTAAGTACTGGGTACTGTGCTCAGTTCTTGTAATTGAGGCATTACCTTGACTGTAAATATTAAAAATACCTCAATGATTCTGAAAATATATGACATGGTGATTATTAACCAAAGTCAGATTCTAAATAAACTCCATAATTCAAATGCTAGAAAAACTCAGCTTCTCTGCCTGATCAGGACTTTGTGGGTGTCTCCGAGATTTCACTTCTTAGGATGAATTCACAAAAGCAGTTAAATAACATGAATAAACAGGCTAAGCTGAGCAGAAACGATTCTCTTACTAACACCTTATAAAGAAGCTCTATTCTATGAAAGTATGATTGTGTAATGTTTAGGATTGAAGTCAACCAAGCTGTCAGTTTGCAAAGAATATACTAACATTCTGATGTCATAAGCGTCAATGATATCAGAATGTTAGTATATTCTTTGCAAACTTATCACATGGGAAACCTGGGTTTCAAAACCTTGAATCAAATCAGGGCAGCTGATTCATTTTGTTCAAATGATTAGAAACAAGCATCACTACGATTCAGAATTTTGAACACACAAATGTGATTGGAGGGACAGTAGTGGAACATAGACACTAAAAACAATTTACTATGATTTTTATGTATTAAAATAGCCTGAGAGGTTTGGCAAAATTTGTTAGGAGAAGGATATTTTATTTGACATTATTATAATTGATTATTATAATCTCTGCCATTCCTGTATTTGAACTATTGCCTTTAGGTTGATGCTTTATGATGTATTAATGATTTTTACAGCCCTACTGAGGACAACAGTTACTTATTTGGCTTCGCTCACTTCTGAATCTGCTAGAATTAAGTCAGAGGCAGGAAGTGGCTCAGGCCTAACACGTGTAAAATGTTCATGATCAGTGTCTGTGGTTTACAGTGGGTGCCAAAGCATTTCTTACAAGTGACTCAGTACTATATTCCAGACACACTGTTTTCAGTTTGTATAATACAAACCATTCTGTCAGCATCCAAGCATTCACAAATCTTTCTGTGCTGAACTGTTTTACTGGACTACCCAAAACAGAAAATGAAGGTTGCAGATTCTACACAAAATTGATGAAAATTAGAAAAAATGTTTGACTCCCCCTGATAAAGGCCTACACTACAGCTGTGAGACAAAAGAAAGTTTCATTTCAAGTCAAGTGCCACAAAAATTCTGTATTTTCCAACTCCAACATAACTTTCCTGAACAGGTTTTTCCTAAACATTTCTACATAGGCTGAGTTTAGGCCTTATATAATAAAATAGCTTGCCTGCAAAGCTATTGGCAAAAGCTAAAGCATTTGTGTTTGTATTGACAAATACAACAGTTTGTGACTGTTCACACACAGACTGTGGAAGTTTACTGTTTGTTAAACAGTGAATTGCTCATAATGATAATTTACTGGAGATTGTGATCAAAATGTGTCAAAATGCAGAATCTGTATTATTTTCTGTATGTATTATGGTTAACTATAAAATGTAAATACTGTATCTATTTAAATGTTTTTAAGGGTAGTATTGAGAATGAGAATGAGTATTCAAGTAACATCAAAGTCTGTAAAATGTTGCTCGGACCAGCCTAAACTAAACATCACGATATGAAATAATCGTGAACACAAGCTCTCTCTTTAAATCTTTGTTTGAAATGGAAGAGTAAAAGCTTCCTGGGAATCCTGCAAAGTGGGCCTAGACGTTCAGAGGTTCTGCAGAAATTCCAACCAAAAATCCTGGGGCAGCTGCCATCTTGCCTCACCCTAGGGCACAGTGAGCCTGAAGGAACAGCAGAAGCTCCTCATAGTTGCCCAGTCATTGAGCTGGCACTGTTCCAGGACAGAGGGATCATGGGCTGGAGGACAAAAACTAGCTCTTAGCTTAGCAGAACAGACGGAATGTGTGGCCAAATAACTGTGCACTAACAGCAAATACCAAAAACAAGTACTGTTTCAAATATAAAAACATGCTGAAATGGACCAAAATATGCAAGATATAGTATTTCAAGGGAACAGTCTTATTTGGCTATTTTTTAGTGTCAGAAGGTGCTGCATCATGTCAGAGGTTTGAAGATACATACTTTTTACGGTCATTTCAGAGAACAAAGCAGGGAAAACCGCACTGGTGACATCATTGGGCATGTTTCAATCATAAAGAAGGCTCAGCTTCCAAGAATCACCGCAGTCTGTACAGTCTGTACACTTCCATTCACTTACCCATTCCCTTCAAACTCACAAACTATGGCAAAAAAGCCACAGCAGTTTGATGGAGCAGACTGTATATGTTTTAATATGACAGGGTAGAGACGGAACATGAAAGATTTGATTATAATATGACCATAAAACCATATAATATTTAACCAAAGTTCCCCGAGGAGATGACAGAAGCGATCTATCAATCTGAAGAACTATTTCACCATGCAAAGAACCATTCAAGCATGCAAAGAACCATTTAAGCATGCAAATGATTCTATATGGAACTCATGGTTCTACGTAGAACCATTCCCATTGCTGAAGAACCCTTAAAGAATATTTTTTAAGAGCGTAGCTGAAGTGAATTTGTCAGCAATTGTAACTCCGTTATTAGTTATTAACAGTAATAGACAGTCTACCTCAGCTCTGTCCATAGTGTCCACAGAAAGAATGAGCTTGAGTCTCGATCTGATGTTTAAAAGATCTGAACTTAAAAAAAAAAAAAAATTCTGCCTTAAAGTGTATTGATCACAGTCGTTCACATTACATCTAATAGTGCATTTATGTTGGTGTTCTGGTTATTCACAGCAGCCAAAGAGCCTAAGAGTAGCCTAAATCAACAATAAATCAAAGTATTTATACTTGGGTACAATAAATGAACGAGTCAAAGTGCGAGTACCTTCCCAAAAAACAAGTTCTATGTTCTGTATAGAACTGCAGTGGAACTTAGTACATCCAGCATCTATTAGCACAGGAACTGAAGCTTGTTAGACTCTAACAACTCTTTTGGTCTAAAATAAAATGCTAAAGCTCCAAAGTCAGAGGTGTGACCAATCACAGAGCTGTATAGATGCTGTCACCAACAAAGCAGAATGAAATTAAACACAAAAAAATCTTGAAAATTCTTCAAAAACAACATATTGGCTCACTCAGATTTTATTAATTGCAGTGCAGTGCTGATATTGCCATGCCCCCCACTAAGCTGAAACACTGCAGATGAACTCTAGGAAATGTAGTGTATCAAATTTTATAGGTTCTGGAATATAAAACAGTTCAATATCTCTGGAACTACACTGCAGAACGTCAGTAGAAGGCTGGAAAATGGTTTTAAACTGGTCCCCTTTAAGGCATAAGAGTGCGGTACATAAAAGGCACGCATGGACAGTGGCCCTCCGCTGATGTGCTTTTAGGCTGATGCTCCATGAGCGTGAAACAGCATGGCTTGTGTTGTGCTCTTTACACAGCAGCATGCTTTAAATAATTGATGTTTCCATAATTATCCTCCCCACCTTGTCACATGAGCCCCCCTGAGCTCCACCCTGCCAGGAAAGATGGGTACAGAACCATGATAATGGCCTGATCCTGTCTGCCCTGCAAATATGCAATGCGCAAATATAGTACAGTCATTGTCTCACGTTACATGCGTGTGATCACAGCTTTCACTCTGAGGCTGATAAGAGGAGCAGATGTTATTCTGAAGCGATCAGAGCGAAATGAGGAGGTAGTTAACACAGGCTTTGATTAAAAAGCTGAACACTTGCTCAGTTGAATCATGGGCCATATATGTTTTTCCCTCTAATTGATGAATTCTTGGATCCGTCTCGTGTGTCTGTGCCTGATTTACTGAATCAGTGGTTTCAATATATAGCTGTGAAATAGTCCATAATAATTTACATCATGGGATACAGACAGAATCATGTGACAGGGAATTGAAAAACACAGAGGACATACAGTCATGTGCATAAATTTGAATACCCCTGGTAAAATTACATGTTCTGATATGAACTCATCAGCCCTCTTCACGTTTTGTTTTGCCCTCCCCAAACAGTGACCGCCCACACAGCATGCGTGCACAATTTAGGGAGAAACAGGAAAATTAGAACAAAATTAGAAAATTTGAAGCTGGGACGCCAGAATGTAGTCTATCTGCTGCACCTTTTAAAGGTGGAATGGGAACAACAAGAAGCTGACAAAAAAAGCTGACTTCAGCTTCATTGAGAGTTGAAATGCCTGAAAACTGAAAACAGATGAGGAGATCACTTCTGCTGGACAGGTGGGTAACAACTCATTTTTAATGTTTACAGTATCAATAGGTCAGTATTGCTTTGTCTTGTTTGCGAATGTTTATGATAGCAACTGGTTAGCTTCACAACACCAACTGTAGCGACAGTATGCTAACCCACAACCGAGCTAACGTTAGCTACATTACTTGCTGTGTGGTTGTTCACTCTAACATTACATTATGGTATTTGTGTCTACAAGGTTTTCAAAGGGTTTTATGGCCACAAAGATCTAAAAAAGTTTGCCTCAAAAATGTGCATCCACGTATTTGGGGGGGCAAAGTTTCTGAAGGAGCACTGAAGTGAGGGGTGTGTTTATTTGGCTGTTGAGTTCAAATACCAACAGTCGTTCTCTAGAGTCGTCTAAATTGTGCCATAACCTTTGCACAGGCAATTTACATCAGATTGACTAGGACTCTGCTGGCTCTCTGTGTGAAATGCTGCGTTACACTGCTAGCCACATCACAACACATTGAACACTTACACATAACAATAACTAATAGAGAACAGTGTAAAACAACACAATAAGTCACTTAGGTGGGGGGCGCGCGCTACCATGAGCTGCTGCGTGTGGCCCTCTGCCTAGCCATGCCTCCAGAGTCTCTTAGTGCCAGCACCAGCCTGTAGCAGGACACTACAACATCAAACAATCCTGTGCAACTGACACAATAAACAAAATAGCATTTAAACACAATAAAAACACCTTTACTGTTAACTTGCTCATTCAACTACAAAGACGAAAATGTACTTCGCCACTGGTTTTGCAAAGCATGCACTGTATGCACGGTTCAACTGAGGGACCTCCAAAACAGGCAGAAATTGCACTTTATAGCTGGTGTGAAACTCTCCTTGTTGTTAACAGCGTTGATGCATGTAATTGCCATAAGTCAGTGACTAGTATAATTGTTTCTGACGTGTTGAATCTTTTCGGGGAAGGAGAACACTCGTGAAGCGAAGGATATTTATACAGCCCCAACAGAGATGATCACCAAAGCATTTCTCCTCTTTAAAGTTGCTCAGTGGTTGAATAACAATGACAGGAAAGGCATAAAAACATCCCAGGAAAGACGCGTGTTTTACTATCCAGTCGAGTAGCAGGGAGATTAGCTGTATTATTTTCCTGCCAAAATCAGAAGTGGCTGCAGCGGTTCAGTTTTGGATAAATCCGGATTGCGCCATAAAGCAGCTAATCTGTCAGACAAAGCCTGAGCGATATTCCCCGCTCACCCGCGGCTGCGCTGATGGCCTGCACGGTTTCTGCTGGGCTTTTCAGGCGGTAATGTGGTGGGAATCCTTTTTGGTTGGTGAGGTGCTGCTGGTTCTGATAAGGCTGCTGGAGAGGGGGCTGTGAGAGCGGCGTCCCACTTTCCTGCAGATTATTTTAGCATGCTGGAGTTTGTCAGCTCTGTGATATGAGCCCAAGGCCTCATCTGAGCTCCTATTACTGTTACTCATTCTGTTTCAATGAAGCACAATATGGCATTTTTAACTGAGCAGAAAAAAAATATTCAGTCCTTCAGACAAAGATATAGAGGTATAACAGACTACTATTATACCTATACATTACTCCACAGGTGTTTCTATGGGCAACAAGTCTTAAAGGTTTAAGGTATTAAAGAATGGGTTGAGCGAAAAATCAAATTTCCACACTTTACCAGCTTACCCAAGATGTAGTCGATAATCCGAGACAAGTTTTATGTCTAAATTGCTGTTTAGCACTAGAGATACAAAGCTAATGTTGCTAGCGAACACCAGAAGTCAACTGTCACCCAAATCTTTTCCATAAATACAATCCCAATACTTTCTCAACTTGCTTGAACTGCATACAGGTCTTCATTAAGGTTGCCCAGACTTGTCAATGTGTTTTAAAGCACAGTACGACTTACTGTGAACTATAAAAAAGAACAAAACGTCACCGTGTAGCTGAACACTAAGGGCAGCTATTTTAGACAAATAGTGCTTTGATCCCGCAGAGAGCCATTTTTTCTCTTTATAAATTATTGCTACATTTTGAACTGAACATACATGTTTATAAACAGAAATAACAGAAATTGTGAATGTAATCAACCGTCTACATGCCTGCATGAGGTATGTGAGCATGAAGGGAGTCACAGCTCCTGTTGTGTAAAGCGGCTGCCCACAGCATTCGGCTTCACAATGAAGTTTTGTTCATTTTTATAGCTCGCAGTAAGTCATATCATGTCCTAAACCACAATGTACAATCCTGCACTAATTAAAAGAAGACTTTATGTGGGTTGAGAAAAGTTTTGTTGATGTATTTACAGAAAAGATTTGGGTGATTATTCTAATATCTGGGTGAGACTTCTAATGTTTTTTTGGAAACGTGAGCATGGAGTTGTTATGTAATCTCAAATAAACTTGTTCATGTGGTTTCTGACTCTGTGTGACGTACTGTTATCTTTAAAAATGGACAAAAGTACGTCAGAAGTAGCGGCCATCTGGAAGCCTGGATTTTGTCTGTACTTTGTCCAAAGTAAACTTTAAACACCTTCAGTCTAGGCTGACTGACTACTTTTTGAGTAAGGGGGTAAACTTTGTTAAACTCTCACTTTAACTGAAAAGGCAGTGTTCTCAGTAGTGTTCTGTGGTACGCTGCTGTTTGTCTAGCGCTCAGTTCACGTCCCACGGCTCCACATTTAGCGGCCCTGCTTCGCTAAGGCCTAAATAGTCTTTTAAAGAATGGCCCTTATGTAATAACCAGAGAGGTTCAGTGGTTAAAGGAGTGACGGCACAATGACTTTCTTGATAGGATTCAAGTCGGCTGGCACAGCGTAACTGCTGCATCATCACTGCGTAGGGAACAGAGCTGCTCTTTGTTCATCCCTGACTAAATGATGACCTGACAGAGACCTAATCTTCCCCCGTCTGCTGAGCACTTCATTATCTGGAAATGCTCTTAGACTGCACGTGCTTACTGGGCAGGACCCCCTTTGATCCAGTGAGAATTCTTTGCATATGGATATTAAAAATGACAGAAACATTAATTAGATATTTAGGAGTAGTAGAAGAATTAAACATCTTTCTCAGTTGGGTCAAAACACTTATAAAACTATTTCATGGATAACTGCAGATAATACAACATGCATACAGTGCAAAACACGATAATGTTAGTCTGTTTAGCCAATTGGTAGAGATGGGTGTCACCTTTCAAATGAAAATGCAGCAGGCCTTCGATCACCTCCCTCGATCACCTTCTGCTAAGTAGATTCTTCTAAAGGTCCTCCCTGCTTTTAGCTACAGAGCACCAGTGAGCTGGAGTTCACCACAAGAGTCTCTAAGGCTACGTTCATATTACCAGGCTGAAGTGGCACAAATCCGATTTTTTGCCCTAAATGTGACTCAGATCTGATGCTTTCAGGGCTGTGTGGACACGCAAATCTGATATTTTCAAATCTGACCTGAGTCACTTTCATATGTGGTCCTAGATCGGATACGTATCCCATTCGTGGCCATATGACCCTAATGAGAACGCTCAGATCGGAATTCATGTGCTTTTTTCCACTGTGCGTGCGCTATCATTCAGCGTTACCATGGCAGCTTTAACAGAAGTTAAAGCCTGTAAACAGTGGAAAAGCAACACATCTCACCCTTTTCGCCTTTGTCTCGCTCTAATAATGAGCAGCTGAGAGCAGATGAGAGTTAAGTATCTTCGCAGTGAAGGCTCGTTCTTACCGTTAGTCTGTTTGCTGATGATGCACGTGACGCATGCGATTCATTAAGTGCATGACAGTGCATGCGGGTCATTTCGGGACGCTGGTTCATTCACATTATTGGCAGATTTGAATCACTTAATTAAACAAGTGTGAACCATCCTGTCAGAGAGATCGGATTTGAGCAAAAAATTGGATTTGAGCTTGTAGTGTGAACGTGGCTTAAAACTCGTTCGCTGGAGTCATTTTAAACTTTTAGCCTGTAAATGTTTTAGTTGAGTTCAACTTTTCTTTGTCCTTTTTTTATTATTATTATTATTATTATTATTACTATTATTATTATTATTATTATTATCTCACTACTTTATTGCAACAGCTTTATTGTTTTATTTGATGTTAATTGTTTTACTATTCTATTCTAGTAAATAATCTGATTTTTCTAAAGTTTTAGTTTTCTTATTGCTTATTATGAAAGCTGGGTACTTAATTTTAATGTGGTTTTATAATATATATATATGAGGGTTTAGTGTTAGAAACCAATATTGGCAGGTTTATCTATATTCATCTATCCATGTTCAGTTTTGAACTATCTATGTTCAGTTACCTACAGTACAAACAAAACTGAACATAGATAGATGAATATAGATAAACCTGCCAATATTGGTTTCTAACAATATATATATATATATGTATATATATATATATATATATACGTATATTATTTACTGTGGTTAATAAAAATGGTTCTTTTTAAAAAGTGAATGGACATCCTATAATAATAAGCCACCGTTAACCGCCAAACATAGGCTTACTTAAGCATCTTAAATGGTTTCATTTGAAAAATACATACACACTGTGATATACACTGCGATATCTATTGTCAGAAATTTTTCTTACACCATAATACATATTTTTGGCCACTGCCGTTTGGGAGCATGCTAGTCTATGACAGACCATGCTCAAGGAGGCATCATACGGCCTGGAATTTAAGGACAGGCACTTGCTGTCTCAATGACATCACAAATTTATGCTGAAAGACCTCCCATTTCATCTCTTCTCAAGGGGCTCCACTTGATGGAGGTCTGGAGACTGCACTAGATGCATGCTGAAGTAAACTGAAGTTGCTGTCGTGCTTGAGAGACTAGCCAGAGATGATGCGTGCATTATGTCATGGTGCATTATCCTGCTGAAAGTATCGTTTAAAAGGGTCATAAAGGGGCGCAGAGCTATATCCCTCCCTTTATACCCCCTTTACATCCCTTTTAGATTAATGTGATATCACTTAAGATCTCTATTACCGATATTTACATTCCATACATATGTGAGATTCACAAGCTGCATGAGATCTTCATGTTAAATAAACAAGCTCTGGTGAGAGCAGAGCACCTACAGAAGAGATGCTTATGTACAATCACACTTTTACTGGTACAGTGTGCGGGACCTGACAGGGTGTGCGTCAGGGTTGCCAGGTTTGCGGTTATCCCGGCAAACAGGGCTAGTTTAAAAATGCAGCCGCAAGAGTAAATTATAACGTTTCAGCTTCTGGTGGGCGGCTTTTAAACAAACTTTGGGCTGGTGGTTTTTGCTGGACCTGATATACCATCCACCTGTGGCAGCGAAAATCAGTGTTCATCAGACCAAGCAACGTTTTTCCATCTTGAATCATCTAGTTTTTCAGGATTACATGATTGCCTGTAGTCTCATCTTTCTCTTCTCAGCGAGACTGGAACCCACTATGGTCTTCTACTGCTGTATATACTTCATTGTTCAACACACTGAGAGATGACCTTTGGCTCACCACTATTGTAAGAAGCTGTTATTTGGCTATTTGTGGCCTTTTTATTTCGCTTTTCTTCCTACTTGTTGAATAAAAGGCCCATATAAGGGTTAGGCGCTATCCCTTCTTTAATACCTTCAAACTATCTCCAAATTTTACCGCAGTGTCAGATACTATAAATGTTGTTGGTGATCACTGGAGAGAGTTTAGTTAGAGGAAGTAAAATGCTGATTAAAGAGCTAACAGGTTGAGAGACACCAGTAAATTATCGAGTGTTAAATACAGTGAGCAGCAGCTCATGTCTCACGGTGTTCTTCAGGACAGAAAATGGATACATTAGAGAGCCAGAAACCACAGAATAACTCAGAACCTGAAAGGGGATGTGACTGACCACGATGCTAACTGATCACAGAAGAGCTAATGAAAGTGATTTCATCCAAAATCTGTGGTTGGAACACCCAGATCTCGACCACCGGTTATACAGTTCTGAGTATTAAACATCAACTTTAAAAATCTGGATATGTTTCTGAATAATTTATGTATGAAAGCGTTCATTGTTTTTAAGAGGCCTAATGTATGGCAAGAAAACCTTCCCCACACCAAGCACCACAGAATGTATCTTAGGGGTGGGTTGGGGCCAAGCATCAACCCCCAACCCTCCTCGGTTGTCACGGTAACCTCTTTGACTTGGCTTTGATCTGAAGAAAGCAATTATCACTTTATGCCGCTTCATTCTTTCCTTTCATAGCTGTCACTCACTGGACCCCTCGCCTCTTAAAAAAGGGGGTTCGTTAAGGGTTCTGTAGTAAAAGCAAAGTGTACATATGATAGCTTAAAGAACCTTGTGAATGCCTGAACTGTTGGTTAAATGGTTCTACAGCATGACCTGAGTGACTATTGTATACGGCTTCTTTAAAAAATCTTTTGAAAAATGGTTCTATATAGTACCAGAAAGGGTTCCACTATTGTTACAAGTCAAAGAAAATTTGTGGTTCTATATGGAACCCTTTTTGTTAAGACTGCGATTAAACCAATCAATTCATCAAAGAGAAGGAAGTCAAGTTAATTATTTTGATTATGTTGGTTGTGATACAAACATACACAGTAGGCAATCGCATGTCTATTTATATGCTCCAGAATAGGTAGGATATCAAATTCATACCAAGAATAAAAGTGGAGGATATATCTCAGTCTTATACAGTGATTGGCTAGTGAACGTCCCCTGCCCCCATGAATCCATGGATTCATGCTGTGTACGCCAAATTGTGATCTACCATCTGCCCGTGGCAGCAGAAATCAGCTTTCAGACGAAGCAACATTTTCCCATCTTTCTCATCAATCATCTAGTTTTTCATGGTTGCATGATTACCTGCTCATGATGTACTATCAAAAGATGGTTCCTCAAAGGTGCTTTAGTATAGGGAATGGTTCTATTCAGAACCTTGAGGTCTATATAGAACCATTTCATGCATGAAATCAGCTTGAGGGACAATGTAATGTAGATGGTTCTATATAGAACCTTTTTAAAAATGTCTCTATATAGCACCAAAAAGGGTTCTGCTATTGTTTCAGTCAAGCTTGTGACAATATAAGAAACCTTTTTGCTGCTATATAGAACCCATTCTTCATCAATCTGAAGAACAATTTCACCATGCAAAGAAACATTTAAGCAGAAAATTGTGCTATATGGAGCTCATGGTTCTGAAGAGAACCGTTCCCTTTATTAATGAAACCTTGACCATCTTTTTTTAAGAGTGTAGCCTCACCACAGTCTTCTACTGCTGTATCTACTTCATTGTTCAACACATTGTGGACTTGAAGATGCCCTTCTGCTCACCACTGTTGTAAATTTATGGCTTTTTTTGTTAGCTTGTCCTCTAACCTGTCTCATTAAAGGGCCCATATCATGGAAAACTGAATTTTCCCCACCTTTTTGGAATAAGAGTCTGATGAAGAGTTTTAAACCATACAGTCCATACATGAATCCAATTAAATTTCACCTCAAAAGCCTATTTCAAATACATTGCTTTTGTGATGTCATGTTTACATATATCCACCTATTCAGCCTACAGCAGTTTAGCCCTCACCCCTTACACTTCAGTTATGAGGAGTGTTTCAGCTAGCAATGCTTTTTGAATGAATCATAACACAGGGCAGCCAATCAGATAAGAGGCAATTTACATGTATCAGTATTAAAGGCACAGTAACACAAACAGTCTGTTTAATTCTAAGTGATAAAGAGAGGCTGTAAAATTGGCTCATAAAAATGAACCATGACTGTTTTTCATATGCAAAATCACACAATTTATTTTAATTTTTTTTAATTTAGCACTTTTAATAAGGAGTTTCCTCATAGAGCATCTTAACATACAATCGGATCCAAGTTCCAAATGAGCATCGCGAAGGGCAACAGTGGCAAGAAAAACTCCCTAAGAGCAACCTGGAGCAGAACCAAGACTCAAAAGGGGATCCCATCCTTCTCTGGTCTATAACAAAAACGTGGGATATGAGCCTTATAACAAGGTGTTCTCACCCACAGACCTGCTCACTGACTGTTTTTGTTTGTCACACCGCTCTCTGTGAACTCTGGAGACTGTAGTGTGTGAATGTCTCAGGGGAAGCTGTTCCTGTTTCCGAGATGCTGGAACCACAATGTCTGGCACCGACAATTACACCACAGTCAAAGCGGCTTATATCACCCATCTAGCCCATTATCATTTTTGGGCCAACAATTAAACCTCTTGTCTATGCCTGCATGCTTTATTCACTGAGCTACAGCCAATGTTTGCTGTTTGGAGGAGCTGGCTGTTTGCATTAAAGGGATAGTTAAGGAAATTTTTCAAAATTCAACTTTGCACAATTTCACCCTTAATCCAAACATAGTTTATCTGCCAAGAGCCATTTCATTTAATATCCAAAACCACCAGTGAACATACACGTCTTATAAGTTTTTTTTATGTAACTTTGATGATTGTAAATCTGACAAAAAATATTTTCTTTTGCTGCTAGTTCACCGCACGACACCCAGCATGCACCCCTCCACCTTGAATGTTTTATTAAAAAATACATTTTAGATTAAAAAATTAATCTCAAAACCATCATAAAACAATGTCTCAGAAATCAGGCAGCATATTCATAATTTAGAGGGATCAAACTCTTCAGATGTCTGGTTCCTTTCACCACCACTGTCAACAATTCAGAGCGAGTATGCTTCTTCAGAATGGAGCATTTCACATCAAAACCCTCTTAATTACATTGTGTACACTGCAACAATTTAACTAAGCAGAAATTTGAAAAAAATGGTGGAATTCCCCTTTACGTAATCTCTAATAGACATGCTTATGTGGTTTCTGATACTGTACGCCCCTCCCTAAAGGCCCAAACTTTATTTTGGTCTAATTTATTTATTTTTGTTTAATTTTTTATGTTTAGTAGTTTTCAGCTGCTGGAGATCCCTAGCAGTCATTGGGTGGATGGCCGGATCATAACCTAATAAAACAGAACAATAAAGACAGTTCAATAAAATAAAAAGCCTGGAGACGAGACGGGGTGTGTGGAGTCAATACATCTTAGAAATTATCATTTCAATGGATTATGGTACAATTATGCTCCCTAACTAAAGGTACTGAGATGTAGGGTCCCACCCCAGTGACAGTTTCATACCTTTTTTTCTGAGAATGTATATATATATATATATATATATACAGATTTTATATATAAAGTTCTAGAAATGCATGTTTCCAAAGTCAAGGAGTAATCCTGTTAAATAATTATCTCAATATTGACCAAAATAACCATGATTATGATTTTTTTCCATAATCTAGCAGCCCTATGTGACACACTGTCACCTATAAACTGGACATGTCTTGGTTGATTGAACACAAATGAGGTAAATGTAGCTGAGTATGTATAAACCAGTACAGTCCTAACTGTGGCTTACTGTTTACCTATAAAGCCTAGTGAACAATCTACTGTACATCAGACAGGCTCTCCACAGGCACTGACGGCAGTGCACTGAACCTGCTTTGTCTGCTGTGTAAGAGAGAGGTGACACACACCGCAGACAGGGTTTAATTTCGGTGCACGCACGAAATCGGTCACCTGTGCTTTGTTCAAACATAAAGAGACTCGAGACTCTGTGCTTCTGTCCGCACGTCAGTTTTTTGTGCATTGCAACGAACCACTCCATGAAGCAAACGCACGCAAAAAGACCTACAGAAACATAAAGGCGTGCAAAAACATGAATGCAACGCATGCATAAACAAATCTGTGCGAAAACGTAAATGCGCGCAGAAACAGAAAGCACCGCTCCTTTGGGATGTTAACATGGAAGGCAGTGCACTGCATGTTCCTATAAGTCACGAAGCTCAAGTCAGCTTCTTATTCGCAATTGCCCGTTCCACCTTAAATGATGCAGCAGTTACAGGCGCCGGAATGTAACTGCTGCACCATTTAAGGTGGAACGGGAATATTCGAATGAGAAGCTGACTTCACCCTCGTCTGTAAGTATCTCTCTCTCTCTCACCTCCTCGCGGGGGCTCTCCGCTTCGTTTCCCGGAGTTGCGCTCGCGCTGACCGTGGCCGTGGCCGTGGCCGTGGCGGCCGATGCTGGGGACATGTCTGCGCGGGCAGCGGGGCATGGATCACGAGCTCCACATCGGACCGCAGCGCCAACCGGCCATGCATCATCCACAACCCTCGCGCGCAGAAAACACTTAGCGACGCACTCTCGCGCTCACCGACATGAAGGCTAAATCAATAAGGAGTCCGAAAAAAAAACTGCGCGCACGCTGCCATGTGTTCGCTGAAGCCGCGTGCAGCCTGCACCGTGCGACGCGTGTGCACGCGCTGCGTGTGCTAAAGCCTCCCAGCAGCAGCAGCTCCTCCAGGTCTGAGCGGAGAGAGAAAGAAGCAGCGCAGCCTGGGGCCCTCCTGCACCTTCTGCAGCTCCTCCTGCACCTTCTGCAGCTCCTGCTCCTCACCAGGCAGCCCTGATATTCGTGGTTTTAAAGACGCGAGCAAGAAAAAAGCTGAAATTCGCCGCGTGCTTAGAAGCGCGCAGGATAATAACCATCAACAGAAACGACGCGGAGCTGAATGCACGTGCGCAGCCGGTTCTCCACGGTGATGCTGAATGGCATTTTGGGGTTGGGGTGTGGGTAGGTGGGGGGGAAGGGGGACTCAAGTGGAGCAGACGGGCGCGCGATACCTATTTATTTATTTCCCACCCACCAGCGTCCACCCTACGACGACCTCTAGGCATCCAGCATCTGATGTTAAAGCTTTGAATAATGTTCCCAAAGCATTTAATAGCGTTTGCCTACAAGAGATGTGAAGATCTTCTAAAAGCATTCTAACAGCGCGCTAAATGTGTTCTTATAGCTTATCTAAAACGTCTTAATAACATTCTATTAAGCATCTAGCATCTAATGTTAAAAGCTTTTAATAATACTCCCAAAGCATTTCACACTGTTCCTCTACAAGGGTTCTAAAGGCGTTCTAAAGCATTTTAACAATGCTCTAAAAATGTTCTTATAGCTTTCTAAAACATCTTAATAACGTTCTATTAAGCATCTAGCATCTAATGTTGGAATCTAGCATCTAATGTTGGAATCTTTTAATAATGTTCAATAATGTAAGCATTTAACATTGTTCTTCTACAAGAGTTGTAAAGACGTTCTACAAGCATTCTAACAGTGCTCTGAATTTGTGTTCTTATAGCTTTCTAAAACATCTTAATAGCATTCTAAAAGCATTTAGCATCCAGCATCTAATGTTAAAAGCTTTCTAAAAGCTTTTAATAATGTTCCCAATGCATTTAATAGCGTTTTTCCAGAAGAGTTATAAAGTTGTTCTAAAGCATTCTAACAGTGCTCTAAATGTGTTCTTATGGCTTTCTAAAACATCTTAATTGAAACCTAAAAGCAATTAGCTTCTTATGTTTAAAGTATTGTAAAAGCTTTTAAAAATGTTCCCAAAGCATTTTTTTGCATTTTACTACAAGCTTTCTAAAAGCATTCTAACAGCGATAAATAGTTTAAAAGCATTCTTAAAGCTTTCTAAAGTATCTTAATAGCATTCTAAAAGAGCTTAGCATCTAGCATCTCATTAAATGCATTCTAAAGGTCTCTAATAATGTTTCTAAAGCATTTAATTGCATTATACTACAAGTGTTGTAAAAGTGTTCTAAAGCATTCTAACAGCGTTAAACAGTTTAAAAGTGTTCTTATAGCTTTCTAAAGCATCTTAATAGCATTCTAAAAGAGCTTAGCATTTAGCATGTAAAGTTAAATGCATTCTAAAGGTTTCTTATAAAGTATTATTACTAGTATTAGTATTATTATACTACAAGTGTTGTAAAAGCATTCTAAAAGCATTCTAAGTGTGCTAAATGTGTTCTTATTGCTTTCTAAAACATCTTAAAAGCATTCTATTGAGCATCTAGCCTTTAATGTTTAATGTTTCCAAAGTATTTAACAGTGTTCTTCTACAAGAGCTGTAAAGGTGTTCTATTCTAACAGTGCTCTAAATGTGTTCTGCTTTCTAAAACATCTTAATAGCATTCTAAAAGTGTGTCTTCTAATAGTAAAAGCATTCTAAAGGGCTTTTAAGAACATTCTTAATGCATTTAATAGCATTCTGCTACAAGCGTTCTAAGGGTATTCTAACAGCATTCCACAGGCATTCTAATAGTGTGTTAACTGTGTTCTGAATATGTTTTAATAACATTCCAATAGGGCTCTAAACACTTTTAATAGCATTCTTAAAGCATTCTAAAAGTGTTTTAATAGTGTCCTATGAGCATTCTAACAGTGTTTTAATACCATTTTACAAGCGTGCTGATAGTGTTCCGAAGCCATTCTAAAATTCTAAAAGCTTTTAATAACATTCTGTTAGCATTCTGAAAGTGTTCTAATATTGCTCTGAAATCATTTTGACCTGTAAATATTCTTAGTTTTTTTAACACAGAAAAAAATACTTACTGTTATTATACTGACAATTTGTTTATATAAGGCAAAGTATACGCTCTTCTACAGTCATTACACAACTATAAAAAGCATTCTAAAAGCTTTTAATAATGTTCTTAAAAAATTGCTAGTAAGTAAGCAAAAAAAACATTTAGTTGTCAGTAAGTCAAAAAAGGTCCACTTGGACCTTTTCAGACCCCCGGCAGGCCCCAGCTTTACTCCAGAGAGATATCGGCAGCTTCCTGTGACCACTGATGAAGATCTAGAGGATGACCAACACAAACTGTGCAGCAGCTCTTACTTTACACCTACAAGGTGGAGCAATGGGGTAGGAGTGTCTAACAGAGTGGACAGTGAGTGGATACAGTGTTTAAAAACTCCAGCAGCACTGCTGTGTCTGATCCACTTACACCAGCACAACACACACTAACACACCACCACCCTGTCAGTGTCACTGCAGTGCTGGGAATGATCCACAACCCAAATAATGCCTCCTCTGTTGGGGTCCTATGGGGGTCCTGACCATTGCAGAACAGGGTGAAAGGGGCCTGACAAAGTATGCAGACAGACAGATGGGCTACACTCTGTAACTGTAAAACAACAAAGTGCTCGTATGTGGTAAGTGAAGCTGATAAATGGACAGTGAGTGTAGATACGAGGAGGTGTTCTTAACGAAGTGGTCTGTCTTTGTATATTCTGCAGCTGCGCCAGAGCTCCCCCTGCTGGCCGCACCGAGAAACTGCTCTCTGATCGCAATAACAGGGCTTTCTGAACTCCGCTACCTGAGCTGCACCACAGGACTGATTCTGATTTCACTGCTAATAATTAGACTGTATTGTAAAACAGGTATTTAGATATGTTTACACATACACTTAGATTTAGCTGCGTTCATGTGTGCTATATATATACGGAAGTCCAGAGAGATCGTGAGGTAGTTATAATTTTTTGCACTGTTATCTTGAGGTCTCAAGATAACAAAAGTTACTTTCTCGAGATCACAACTTAATTTTCGTGTGATCTCAAGAAAAAAAACAGCCCCTCCCCCACCCCCCAAATTACATGGATTTGTTGAACTCCATCCTGATTTAATTTGATGAAGGACTGATAAACTAGGTATTGGAATGTGGACTTTGGAAACTAACACTCACGCACAGAACAATGGATTGTTGATTTGTATTCATGATCATGTTAATGTCCAAATAAGTAGCTGATTACTCTTCAAAAAAATTTAATTTATATTAATTATATTAATTAATTTTTTTATATGCATAGATCATTTCTATTTTTAGCATGCCTAAGCCGATCAGACTGCATTGCAAAATGTGATTACATTTGTCCTGAATGTCTCTGGCTAAGTTCCCACTGAATAACACAGAGGTGGTGAGTGTCATTGTGGATCAGTTTGCGGGGAATTCCCCCACTGCACACAAACATTCGGCTCAAACCAAGCCCATCTCATTAGCCCACAACCAATAGGTCATATTTCTTGTGTCTGGCCACGCCCACTTCAGCGTTTACCCCGCCCCCTCCTCGCTTTCTCTCTCACTCTCTCGCTCTCTCCGCAGAGTTAGAAGGCGAGCTGGTAGTTTCCTAACCGTCTTTTTAACGGTCCTCTAAAGCTTTAACCTTGTCAGTGACTCTCAGAGAGGAGTTTTCTTTACGTTTACTTCCATTTCTGTACACTTTCCCTTCCAGAAAGTTACAGATTTAGTTTATGGAAGTGGAACCTCGTGTGTTTTACGTTTGGGAGAGGAAAAAGAGAAGCTGGAGGTGGGCATGAGAGAAACGTCGACCGACTCGCTTGGTTTTACAATGGCGCGGTGATCCTCAGCTAAGGAGTCCGATCAAAAACTAGCACCTTTATTTTGTTTATCAGACACAATGGCGAAAAGCGGCGGGGAGAAAGGGAAGCTAGACTTGTTGGAGGACAGTCGGACTGACTCTGGTATCGACTCTGGTATCGACTCGTTCAGATCTTTTACCAGAGACGATCAGTACAACAGCGGTAACGTTATGTCTACAGGTTCTGTGGTCGGAGAGCAGGAGAAGCTGAGCGTGGTGGAGGAGCGGCTGGACTCGGCCTATGGATCCTCCTCGATCACCTCGATCACGGTAGACAGTCTGGGAGAAATCATAGACAAATGCAGCATTTCAGAACCGTCGAGCGCAGAGGGGAGTTCTGAATACACCGAGGAGGAAGTAAACCTATTAGCAACTGTCACAGAAGATGGAGACACGTAGGTTTTAAACTTTAAATCTAACAGTTTTGTGCTAATATTAGTGCTGCTGCTGGGCGGAACGGATGAATTTCAGTATTTTATATTATTTTTCCAACAGTAGCACGGAAACTTATCTACGGATGGGCGATAATGTGAAATCGCGATACTTTAAAGTATTTCACGAGAAAGTTGGCTACATTGCGATGTCTTCTGAATTAGAGGTGGGCGATATGACAACAAATATAAGAGCCACAGTATTTTCTAAAACTAGCATGCTAAGTTATCTTAGGTGGGCAGTAATGTAAAATCGCGATACTTGAAGACATTTCACGATAACAATAGTTACATCATGATATTTTTTTAATTAGAGGTGGGCAATATGGCAAAAATATAATATTGAGATACTTCATGAATTACAGTATTTTCCAAAACTAGCATGCTAACTTATCTAAAGTGGGCAATAATGTAAACTCGTGATACTTGAAGACATTTTACAATAATATTAGTTACATTAAGATATGTTATGAATTAGAGGTGGGCGATATAGCAAAAATATGATATCGCGATACTTCAGGAAATTTTTTCAATACATGATGTGTCACAGTGTTTTGTTTTTGAGACATCTGATCAGGTGGAACTGAGATAAATGAACCTACGTTTTACAAAATACTGTCAAAAACTGAACACAATGATTTTTATTCAGTATTTGGCATACTCAGGACTAATTTTGCTCTCTTTGTAATGAAACATTCAGTTGGTCAGTGTTCTAACTACTAGTACTGACAACATCCATGATGTTTTACAGAAAGCATATTGTATTGTGACATAATGTAGCACGATAATGATATATATTGCCATATTGTTTAGCCCTGTTGTGAATACAGTGGCTTTAATGAAACATTTTGCATGTTGCATTGCACGAAATTCACTTAAACTGGTCTAACTATGCTCTTTTTTAACGAAATGATGAAAAATGCTATTAGTAAGTCATGTTTACAATCAACAGTGTCTGCAATATGTTTAGAAAAGCATATTGTGATGTAATTTAATCATAATATCAATAACGTATCGTCATATTGCCCACTTTGAGTGTCATGATTAACATATGATGTTTAGGTTAGCATGAATAAAGTTAATGAGCCCATGCTTCCTGAATGCAGCTACTCTATGCTTAAAGGTCTTGTTTTGTTCTGCTTTCTTAAAGTTACACCAAAGGGGACCTTACAAAGAAGTACTGGATGCATTAAAAGCAGACAGAAGCCACATTTCTAAAAACAAAACGCACTGTTTGTTACATTTTTTGTGTGTTAATTGACCTGCTTTACTTTCGCTATGTATCAGTACAGCTAAAACAGAAATTCAATATATAATGCAACACATTACGCTGATATTATACTGATATATATATATATATATATATTACAGTATTCTTCGGAACTTCTAATATTGTATTGTGTAAAGTAAAACTAGTTCCTTTACAAAGTAATGACTGTAAATGCTGTAAAAATGTATAGAAAAACTCCTATTTCCCTGTAGACTTGCAGTCCAGCCTCTTAGTATATCTATTCTTCTCTTTTTGGATCCTTTCGGTCTAAACTTAAGTGCTGAAGCTCCAAACTGAGGAAAAAGCAAATTACTTTCTTCATGCGTATACTTGATTAGAAGTATGATCTTTTGAGAATGTTGAGGAATGCACCAACGTTGTCTTTGAGTACATAGTTTCTAACCACCTCTGCGGGTCAAGGGGGGTTACAGTGTGGAAGCGTAATTGCATTTTTCATTGAAAGACTTCCGCTGAAAAATAGAGGCAGGCTTGGTTTTATTTGGTTTCAAACCCCAAAAGCAAGCACAGACGGCTGTTGTGTATTTAGAGGTTTTGACGTGCTGGTTTAGGTGTTGTGATCTCATGTAGGCTCAGCCTGGCCTGGCATGGACTTTCTAACAACAGGGTGTTGGATGTGCACATGGAAAGCTGTGCCTTCTTGTGTGGGGATTTTTTTTTTAAACTGGCTCTGGGGCTAAAATTAGCCCTTACATCAACAGTGTTTCCTCTGTCACTGTTTTGGACAAACTTAAACTGTTTGGAGGTACAATGGGAGATTTTACTCTGAAATGAGCAGATCTTCTTTAAGATCTTCCTTCATTTTGTGTGTATATGTGTATATATGTAATGTTTATGATATATAAGATGTGTGTATTCAAAGAAAGCTGATTTTAGATACTTTGGCTGAGTTTCAGTAAGTGCACATCACTTTATTTGCCCCATTCACATAGTTTTACAGATTTAACAGATGAACTTGGCGGTCCTTTCTCCTTATAGTGTTGTTGTTAAGATGCCTTTGTTTGTATATGTATGTTGGATAGATAGATAGAAAGTGTTTAAAGATAAACCTTGAGAGGTTTGACTTCTGTGGCTTTGTGTAAGTCTCAGCAAGTGCACATTATTTGCTCTGTCCATGGCTTTACATATTAATGAAATGTCTTTGGTGATTCACTTTCATGTGTGTGACTGAACGGTTTGCAGTGTTTCTGATATAACTCTGCAGGCCTTCACAGAGGTCTAGAAACTGGATCTCTTATCGGTGGCGCATCTGTGTGAGAAAGCAGAAGTACACACAGCGGCTGCGGAATTCCCCAGCGCTGGGCTGGAAACGCATTCTCATACCTCCCTCGGTAGAAAAGAACTTTTGTTTAAGGCCTTCTATTGCTCGTACAGAACGCGCATACGCCACACATCAGAAAACGACATACAAGATGAGTTAATGCTTGTTCTGATCTCTGAAAACCTTTGTATATTTCAGTGTACAAAGTACCTGTATAAGACTAACACCCACACTGTCTGCTTCATCAGCTTTCCTTTTTCCTCTTATCATTGTAGCCTTCGATGTGTGCACAAAGTTTCTCACTATTGATCGGTCCTTATCAAATGTTACGTAGGTGAGAAACAACATGGATATGATCGTTTTACCTGTGTGTGTATGTGTAGCCAGTGTGACCTCTTTTTATTTCCGCTGTCTCTGTTTCTGGGCCACGAGGAAACTTTTTTTCACTTTACTCCCCCCTTCAGTCATCAGCAGCACTGAAACTCAATGAAATCCCCCCAGTCATTCCCTACGGGTGAAACAATTTCCCACTTAAAGGCCTGAATTTCACTTCAGGCCTATTGACAAATTTCCTCTCTCTGGAAAAATCCCGTTCATTCCCCCACTGCCTTTATCTTAAAGAAACTTTTTTTTTCCACTGATGTATGTGTGAGTGTGTAGCGTTCATGAATTGATTGGGAAGTGACTTTTTTCCTCAGACTATTTCCTTGTGTGTTACTGTAACAGTGAAACAGGTCTTTACTCGTACAGAGCAGTATTCCCTGTGAGCAAAACAGCTATGGTTTAAGTGCCATGTATCCAGTATCAGTTTCCTTAGTTAGGGATAGGCAATCACTCAGTTATATCTTATGTAAGATACAGTAATGATGCATTGGCACCAACAGGCTGTAACCTGTAAAGTAGTAAAACTCTTTACCACAAACTTAGCACCATATTGCTGCTGGTGACAGAATGATTAGGTGAACGTTTTTTTCTGAGTAATACTGTGAATGTGATTTAAATTGCAATTGTTTAAGTCCAGGCCTGTTTTTTGGCCATGAATACCAGCACATCTACTTTTCACGCCTGAGGCTTGAGCACTAAATATATTGTGCCAGACTGTCCGTTAGGTGTGGATGTATTGTCATGACGTGGGTGTTTGGTTGCTTCTGATTGGTCTAACAACTTTGCAGGTGGCTCTTTGGTTAAATTTCCCCTTTAAAACATACTTGTTGGTAGTGTTAGCCAAATTAAAAACTAAAGCTCTTGCGAAATCAACAAAACAGACGCATTTAAAGAGCATTTGATGATTTTGGCATAATAGTCATGTAACTTTAGGGGATTTAGAGTTTATTTTTTTAGTTTATGAGCTGCAAAATGCCTAGAGGAAAGGCTCGTCATTGCCTGTTGAACTAATTGCATCAAATAAGATTGGTTGGAATGTCAGCTGTAACCACATTGATGGCTAACATGACCACAAGGTTCTTAGTAATGTAAAGTTTTTAATATTTCCTTTTTCAAAGCATGTTTTTTAATCATAAATACAATTCAAATAAAATAAGTAACTCTAAATTCTGAATTTTGGCCACAAGATTAATCAGCTTGGTGACTGGAATGGCCAGTATGTCCTTCCATACAGGTGAAACATTATTTCCCTCCAGGGCTGTTGACAAATTTCCTCCCTCTGGTTCCCATTCTTTTCCCTCCTGCCCTTATCTTAGTGAAATCTGTCTACCCCTGCCTAGAAGACTGGCTGATACAGTAGTAGATATTTAGGTTATATTGTTATGATATTTGTATTTCTGGCAACAAGATCTGGGTAAAATGGCAAAAATATAACAACACTGTACTTTAGGACATTTTCACGATACATTATATGCATTGCAATATTTAGTTTTTCTGAAGTTTAAAAAGTTGGAATGGACCAGCAGTGCCACATATAAAAATAATGTCTTAAATTGTGAGTGCCATGACTTTTATTTATTGTGTTACGTACTGCAGTTCGCTATACGCAGCCATTTGCTCTTTGTAATGAAACATGCTGTTGGTCAGTCTTTATGTACTTAGGATATTTATGACATGCTCAGAAAAAAATATTGTGACATAATGTGACATCACATTTTAATATTGTTGTATTGCCCATACCCACTGACAATAGCTAGGCTCACACATAGTATATCACTATATGTAGACATCACATGTCTTATATCACTCATTAGTAGTTTCAGTGACTTGGAATTGAGTTTACGTCAAGTAAAAGGTGGGTTTGTAAGTGAAATGATGGCCTAAGAGGCTTCCGTAAAAGAATTGTGCTGTGTTTTTGTCAAGTAAAAGCAGGTTTGTAGGTGAAAAGAAAGCTTAAGGGGCTTCTGTAAACATTTTTGTGGTTGTGTACTATTTCCTGTACTCTTAACAAGTGTCATAGTGTAGGCTTCCTCCTTGTGTTTTGAATAGGCTCCATTAACTTTTCTCTGGTATTTCACCTGAAGTGTCCTGGAGTTCGCTGGCCAGAACCAGCTCTGTTTTAATGTCCGGTTTTCCACGAAGCGAATTGTGCTGCGAGTCCTGATTTGACTGTCTGTAAAGAAGTTCCAGCGTTGCGCAATTCTCACAGGCCTGTCTGCCGCATGGCCTAGCACCACGCTCATGCTGCAGCAGGGTGTGAAGAATTTCTTAGTATCATTTATTTACAGCATACTTCTTTCCACCAGTGATTGTGAAATACTTTCCTTTGTTTGTGTGTGGTCTTCCCCCTCACATTTAACTGTGCTAAACTTACCTCTAATGCCTTTTAACCTGAAGCTCTTTCTTTTGTTGTGTTTCTTTTCCCTGTGCAGAATTCTCCACTTGGCCATTATCCATGAATTGAAGCCGTTTGCACATGAGTTGATAAGCCTGTTCCCAAAAGAGGTCCTGGACATTCAGAATAACTTGTATCAGGTAAATGTCAGACACATCCTTCATGACCATGTGTTTTCACTGGTCTTAGTCACAGTGTAGACATACGTACACCCTCATACACTTTCATTAAAGGTGAAACGTTTTGCAATGTATCCAAGTGTATGCATACTTATTGTATTGTCATTGGCCTTGTCCTTGCTATTGTGAGGGAAACTCCACCTCAGCCAGAAATGAGAGTTATGATACGCAAGTGTTTCTCAAGTATTCAGATATCATTTGGCAATACTGGGTTTATCCTGTATTCTGCTGTTGTTTTTAGTGCAGTTTTAAGGTCCCATAACCTACATTTTTCTTGCCTTATATTTAGGTCCACTTTTTGTATGGGTGATAAACCAAAATGAGTTTTTCTTGTAATTTATTTTTACATGACCATATTTTGAACTGTGTGTATATGTGTCTATGTATGTGCGCACACACACACACACACACACACACACACACACACACACACACACACACACACTCCCCATACCATGCCTTTAAGATTGATATATATCAATGATCTCTGTTCTGATTGGCTGCCGTGTATTGTGCCTCATTTAAAAGGCAGTCTGGGCTGAAATACATATATATATTTCTTATGTTTTGTTACTGCCTGGGGTCAAAAAAGAGCCCCAAATAACAGCAATGTACAAATTGTGTACAGGACATTGAAAACATATCATCATGTTAATTTTATGTTATGTTGTCCCCATTAAATTAGAAAACGTTATTATATATGAAGAATGATGCCATGATTTAGAGATGTTAAACACTGAATGGGGTCACATTGACCCCAAAGATCATAGGAAGGTTTAAAAAGATTAAATAACATCTACTTCAAAGTTTAATTTAAAAGAAATTGAGGAAAATTCAGTTGTCCATGATATGGGCTCTGTAAGTAAAAAACATCCAGAATGCCAACAATATTTGCAAAGAATGCTGACAGAGTGTGGCTGTAGTATTAGTGGCATGGCAAACTCTTTTTAATGGTGTTCTAGATAAGCCTGCAAATTTTGAGGCAAGCATAAATATTCAGCCTGAAAGTTAATGCTAGTTTCACAGTCTCGGGTGAGAGGCCTGCAACGTCTGAAATAGTTAAGAAAAAGAAGTTATCTGAGGCGTTCTGCAGTATGTAAAAAAGGAGGAAACTGAGTGAAAAGGCAAAAGTATTGCAGTCAGCATTTAAAACTGTGACTAATGGAAATGCTGTTTTGAGCTGAGATTACCGACATCCACGTAATCACGACGGGACATTGGTCATATTAGTCACATCAGCACAGTCAACATGCACTCCTACATTGAGTAAGCTGTGCATTGTTGCTCTCGTTTTGGTGGAATCTGCTAAACTTATTTCAGCATCCACTTTTGTTATCGAAAGATAGTGGTCAAGATAAGTTGAGCACAGGATGTAAGTGGTTAACATTTGAGATGAACTTCTACAGGTGCTCCTTTAAATTAGACTTCTTATAACATCCATTAAAATTTAGAATTTATGATTTTGTATTATGAATGGAGCTCATCAGGAGGATTAAGGTTAAATCTCTATCCTGCCATTCTGAGTTAATTTGCATTCCTTTTCACAAGTAAAACTGTTCTATATTATTCAATTTCGTTATTTCATAAATTCATTCAAATGTAATCCTGTAAGTGTGCAATAAGCTGTATAAAAGCCTGCTTGTGTTTGCACCACATGGATAGAAATAACAATTTAAACAGCAGGTTTACAGGTCATGTCTTCAGTTATTAGGCCTAGTAGATCATTACTATAGTCCCCTTTTAATGGCATTTTTTACATTTTCTGAGGGTCAACATCTAGCTTAATTAAGAATGACAGGATGTTGTATGTTTTATTTTAACCCTTGTTTATGTTTGGGTCAACATAACCTGTTTGTGTGACATTTAGTAGTTATTTTGTTCTTTTGTCATGTTTTATAAAACAAGATGTTGCATACATTTCATCGCTGTCCAAAGAAAACCATGTATGTCTATTTTTGTAGATTTTTATTTTTCGTGTTTCAACACACCAACTATCCTTTACGTTGTGTGAAAATATTATGATGAATGGACCAATAGAAATGCTCTAAAATCGCTTGGAATAAAACCTCTTTTATGTTAACTTACATTGAAAGGTAAGTGTTTTTTTTCCTTCTCCTGTAAAGTTACTATTTTGGAGATACTTGTTTTTCTTTGGACAGTGACGATTTGTAGCATAGTCATAGATGTGTCTGCCCCACTGCATATGCAAGCAGGATGAAAAATACTTGACCACAACTTTTTAAGAATGGAAAAAGAAAAAAACACAAATTAACCCAGTTTATTATTCAAATTTCATCAAATAGGAAAAAAAATAACCCTCCGTCTTCAGTGTATCAGATCAAACCCTGACAGACCACCTACACATCAAGATAGTAAAGCATAGCTTTAATATCTGAAGCATAATCACCTGTGTTTGTGCCAGTGTTGCTATTTCAGGGTCAGACATACAAACAGCCTTCTTTCTCATGCAGACGCCAATGCACCTGGCTGTGTACCTGAACCAGCCCGATGTGGTGAAGGCCCTGGTGGAGAACGGGGCATGCCTGGAGCTACAGGACCAGGATGGAAACACCCCGCTGCATGTGGCCTGTGAGCATGGCAGACTAGAGTGTGCCAATGACATGATCCTGGATATTTATAACTCCAAACTGGCCCAAGTGTTTGAGACACAGAACTGGAGAGGTACTACACTCATGATTGTTGGTGTGTGTGGATGGATGGTTGGTGGAGTAGAAGGATGTTTCGGAGTCATCAGTCACTGACTTGTAGCAGCAGGGAAGGCAACACGATCTCTTAATTCAAGAGCTTAATTTAGTGCCTCCTCCTTCCTGTTTGCGTCTCAGTTCCCAGTGTTGGAGCAAATCACGTTGAAAGGAGAACATTGTGCACTGTAATGCAAAGATTTCAATGAAAGTGGAATTGTTTTCAGTTTGTCACAGCTTTTTTTCATGAACAGAAACAGAAACACAGCAATAATAGAAAGGAGGAAGTCAGTAAAGAGATGTTTTGGAATTACCAGGCCTGTTGACATGACAACAGGGTGGTTTGCATGTCATGAATATACAAGGCTGGCAGATAACCACTGTCAGTAATCAAAACTAGCCATCTGGGTGCTGCCTATCAGAGTAAAGTGGGCTGGGAGAAGAAGGGGCCACACACAAATGACTGAGTCTTCATTAATCAATAATAAATTCTAGGAGTTGTATTATTTGGGGGTTTCTTTTTTTACAAGATGGTACAGTAGGCATTGAAAAAGTTCTGTTAGAGAACTTTTATCTGTCTGAGCCAAACCAATCTGTAGATAATTAGAGGTCTGTAGAATAATTTTTAACATTTTTACAAGCTAAATATCAAAAATTGAGTTGTCTTGACCTCAGAATTGAAAATCATATCGGACCTGAAAATCTGTGGTCATTACCCCTCTAGTGCACATGCATGCAAACATATGATACAATCAGAATTTCCTTACTATTGCTGTATTGAAAAATGCATCGTATCAAGACTGCATCATCCTGGATGAAATTTTGAATTCTGTGGTTCAAAAATGTCAGTAGCTTTATAGTATTGTTTTTTTTTTTCTTTAAAAATCAGGTCTCTCTTGCCTCCATGTTGCCACACTGCACAAACAGCACCGCCTCATGAGGCTCCTGATAAAGAAAGGCGCAGATCTGAACATCCAGGTGAGTAGAGCTTATTTTATTGTGTCTTCCATCATTAACAAACTTGCCAGTTTGTAACGTGTGTTTTAAGGTTAAAATAATATTATGTGATGTTGAGCCAGGTGACCTTTAGAATGCGTATAGAATAGAGCACCAAAAACATCAGCCTTTCAGAGAATATCTTGTCTTTTTGTTGTGAGGGCGCACACACTATAGGATGAGGCAAAGAGAGTTATAGCCAATATCACTGCTGTTGGGACCATGTCTCATGTCTCCAAAATAGTAATTTTACAGGTTAAAAAAAAACAAAAAAAAACAACTTTTTTTACTTTGAATGGACGTTAATCTAACCTTTTTTTTCCAAATAATTTTGGAGCTTTTCTATCGGTCCATTCATCATGAAAATTGAGTACGTTGTATTGGGCAGCTGGCGTTTCCAAATTCTGTAAGTACAAAACGATGAAAATAGGGATATATTTTTTTTTACCAGCAGCAAAATACATATATGAACATGTGTATATATATGTGTATCACATGACACAAACAAAGCTAAACTGGACCTGATCAGTTCTGGTGAAAACAAAAGAAAAAAAACGGGGTTGAGAAACTCCGATATCACAAAGAGAGCTGGAGAATGTTTAAGTACAAACTGGCAGGTGACTTGAAATTGTAAAGAAAGTGCATTAACATCTGGATCTGTACATTAAAAACATGATAAATGTTGCTTTCTGACACTCGTTCAGTTTTGTCTGTGACCAACTTACAGTGCAGGAACATTTTGATTTGTAAAAATCAAGCATGTTTAAAAATATCGGAAGGCCCCTGATCAGGTTCACAGAGCTCATTCGCAAAGCTAAAGACACCCACGTCCTATTGAGCTTTAGGAACACCTTTACAACATCAGTACAGGAAAAAAAGCTATTGAATTATTAATATAAATGATTTTACAGATATATCAAGTCAATGTGTATTAATGTCACCATCACATAAAAAAAAACACTAGACACTTTTATTCCATCTGCAACATTACATGCCACTTTGAAGGCTGTAACAGCTCTTTACCCTCTTATAGAGCTTGAGAGGTTAAAGAACTATGTCGCTACACCTGTTTTTCTGACCTGTCACACACTTTTTCTGCCCCTTAGGAAGGTACGAGTGGGAAGACAGCGCTACACATCGCGGTGGAGCTGCATGATGTGGAAGCAGTGACTCTGCTGCTGAACAGGGGCGCTAATGTGGATGCTGCAATGCTGAACGGCTGCACCGCTCTTCACCTGGCTGTCGGCCGGCAGGATGCCACCATCACCACCCGTCTGTGCCAAGCAGGAGCCGACAAAATGATCCGGAACATGGAGGACGAGACGGCGCTGGACCTTGCAGATGGCAATGATGATGTAAGAATTATTTATATTGGAGGATAGCTAAAGCAGGCCAAGAAAGTGGTGCAAAATGTGTTCACCTTTGTAAAGTGACCCCATAAATCTGCACTAGTAGGCTCTGGAACGCTGAAAACAGAGAAAACATGGTTTATGTTTTTCATCTTATTTATGTATTTTGTTGTATGCTGGTCTAAGTGATATACAGTGGTGCTTGATTTGAAATCACAACCCACTCATTTTTAATTATTGTATACTAATGTGCACTATAATGCAAAGTGGAGTATTGTAGTTTTAAAGTGCAAGGCTGATTAATATTGACTGTGCACCAGAATGTATTCGCCATTGGACAGTGACCTGTATCCGTTCCTCCCAGCTGTATGTAAGTTAAAACCTAGGCTAGTTATAATCTTTACTAAATTCAAACTGTTTTACCACACAAACTAGTTTTTACATTGAGCTTAGTAGTAGCTAGATATTTAGATGTTCCACTAAGCAGGTTGTAAGAGTAAGTAAAACCACATAGAAAATAAAACATGACCTGACCTTTTTGGTTAAGATTTCTTAGGATATCATTGTCGTCAAGTTAAAATGATGTATGCATTAGTCAAAAGGGTAACATAGCGCTTTTTTTGCTGCTCTTGTGAATTTTGATCTTATTTCTGCTCAGAAGCTGTTATGACAGCTGACACTCATTAGAATAAGCCTTTATAAATGTTTATGTAGGTTTATATACACACTTAAAAAAGATGGTTCGTCAAGGGTTCTTTAGTAAAGAAAATGGTTCTACATAGATTCATGTACATTCATAGAACCCTTTTCATAATTAAAAGGTTCTTTGCATCATAAAAGAGTTCTTCAGATTGATAGAGAATGTACTATTTTGAAAAGGGTTCTATATAGCACCAAAAAGTGTTCTTCTATTGTTACGATATCAGACTTGTTACAATAGAAGAACCCTTTTTCATTTCAAAATGGGTCTATATACAATCTAAAGAACCCTTTAATGATTCAAAGAACCCTTTTAATCATGGAAAGGGTTCTTTGCATGTTCATGGTTCTATATAGAACCATTTTCTTTACTAAAAAAACCATTAAAGAACCATCATTTAAGTGTGTAGGCATCGCACAGCCTTAAGAATGCTGCCCTTCAATGAAGTGAATTACCGTTAATTGCTACTAGCTAAGACATAATTTTAGGATTTGTGGTGCAAGTGAATTTAGTAGAAGGATAGTTTGAAACTAACTAGTGTAACTAGGGACTTCGTGAAAACTTTATGCCCAAATTAAAGTACATGCTTATGCATTACCGGTGTAACCAAGTCTTTGCTCTGCAAAGTTTTACACACATTCTGAAAATTCAGGGTGGATTCCCAGTGTGCCATACTGCATGTGAAAACTAACACTGTTTCTGCTTTTTGCCTTTCAGATACTTGCACTGTTCCCGTTTGATGACATTCAGATCATGGGCAGAACTGTTGGTGTGAACTTCTGAGACCTTTTTCGGACGGATGGGAGAATTAGTGTGTTCAGTAGAGTAGACTCCAGTAAACAAACTAACTATGGCTTTGCTTTTAGTGCCTTTTTATAGCCCAGCTTTTGTGTGCTGTAGATGTTAATTTATGTTTGGGATTCATGCTTGTCAGAATCCGTCATTCAGTGTCAAAATAATCTAGAATGATGAAGTGAAGAATGGCGTTTGTAAACAGGCTGAAATGTGTGAACATGTTGGATGTGAGTGAAAAACAGTAATAAATCCCTATTTCCTATTTTTACATAACAATGTCAGTGATTGGTAATGACAGCTTGTCTTCATGGGTGCAGCAAAAAATCTTACACTACTTTGATGAAGTTGTTAAAATAAACTGAAAATTCAGTCTATATGTTTCTTGTCAAATACCGCTAAAACGCCGTCCACCCTGCTGCTGTACGATTCTCAGTTTTCAGTGTTCAGATCATTAACTACTTAATCACATCATGTAGATCATGAAATATAAAATATACTACCGTTCAAAAGTTTATAATCACCATTTTCTATGTACTACTCTTTTATAAATTTAATTTACAATAATAACATAGAATGTTATTAATCCACATTGTCCAAAGGGAATATTTATGTTTTTTTCAATATTTCAAGAATTCTTTACGCAATAAGTTATTCAATTCTAAATAAAATACAATAATTATCTATTTACATTGATTTCGTCGAGTTGTCTGCATTGGCCTTTGATCACCACTTTTAAAATAGGATAATTTATTTAATTCTTAATGTTACTTAATTATTGATGGTCTACAGCTTTCTCATTTTAAAATCTCCTACAGATCTGTTCATCATTCTGGATCCTCCAACATTTCTTCATTTTTAATTTACAGTAGTGCCCTAATAAGTGTTTTCAGTACAAGTGTGTTAATCATTATTGGTTTTATATAAAACATTGATCTCAAACTTTTGATCGGTAGTGTATATCTGCTAAGTACCTCATAAAATGGCAAACATCAGTGTGGATACAAAAGTGAAGATGTACAGAAGTGAGTTCAGGCCTTGGTGAAAAGGTTTGCATCAGCTGCTGAACAGATGCTGCACTATCTGTTCTGGCTTTGGAGTGTTTTTAGGTTTACAACCCTTTGAATTGTAACAGCTCTCATATTTCACCCCTCCTCCCCCATCCGTCTCTCTTTTTTTTTAAGAATGAATTTCACTTCCTTTTCCCAAAGTCGCTAAGTCATATGATCTCTAATTCAGTGTAACTGCGTGTGTGATGAGTGCTGCCTAGACTTCCCCTAAACTGATGTCATGCAAATCAGCCATTAAAGCTGAGTGCGGTGTGAGTTGCTTCTTTAAATATAGAGTTTGATGTTCAGACCAACTCAGCTCTGCGATGCCAGCGGATACATTTTGGTGTTCTTCATGACTTGTACTGGGCTGTGAACTTTTGAACTTTTTCATACAGATGTTTAAAGTAACCGATTCTATGTGCTTTGGACTTGAGTACAGTATTTTTAGCCATTAGTAACCAGAAATGATGCCAAATGTATCCATAAAAACAGAAATTCTGTTGTTTTTTTTTCTTTTCCTGCTAAATGCTTTGTGTTCATATGAAAGCATAGAAGTGTATAGAACTGCCCTGATAAATGGATTTGAAAATCAAAATTTCTATACAATTAAATAGTTCAGATGTAAACAAAATCATTCAGAGTGGTTTAGTGTGAAATGCTCCATTCTAGCGAAACTTAGAGTGAGAATTGTTCACAGTGGTGGTGATAGGAGCCAGACGTCTAAAGAGTTAAATGCGTTTTTTAAATGCTTTCACAGGAAAGAAGTGTAGCGCATTATAAGGCCCCAAAGAAAACTTGTTTTTTCAGATTTATCACTATTTTACCAACATCACCATTCCATATAAAAACTCAGAAGACGCGTTTAAGTTCACTGGTGGTTTGAATGTTAAATAAAATGTCTATATTTGTGTTGTAGTCACGGTGACCCCTGGTTCCTATCACCACCACTGTAAAGAAATCTCTACAATCACCAAATGACTGAATGACTGTTTACATCTCAACCATGGAACTATGCAGAAATTTAGAAAGTGGAATTTCCCTTTTAGCCACATTTGACACACCTGATCCAGCTCATTCATGTCTGCGGAGTGATAAGTTGGGCCTGTGATGTTTTGCAGATTTTGATTCCTGCTCACAAACAACTGTGTTATTTTTCCTTTGCTTTAAAATAACACAGTTGTTTGAGCAATTTGGGAAAATCTGTATATACTGAAACAAGCTGAGCACAATTTGCTTTTCCTGTTGTGCTGTTTACGATAATTAACCAGGAAATAGGTCATGTATCTTTTCATTGCCCAACAGAATTCAACAGCACAATGTAGTAACATTTCCAGTTCTGCTGCCATTATGTAAATGCCATTTTAATGCTACACATCATCTACAGTTGCAAGATGTACAGTTTTAATTTTACAGATCTCTATTAAAAAACCATGAAAGCAGATTATTTTGTATTAAAGAGTTTTAAAAAATGATTGTTGCATTTGTTGTTTACAAGTGTTTTATATGAAAATCTTTGTTGAGGCAAAAAGGTTTGGAATATTGTCTTTTAGTCTATCAGTAAATAAATCAGTCTGTAAGTGACACTGCTGACTAATATATTTTTCTGATTGCCAAACTGGTATTGCAAAATAGGGAGGTATGATTTGTCTTTCTAGGAAAGTGGTTTAGGAGGAACAAATTTGAGGACGGACAAGGATGGAAAATTTAAATATTTCGGTTTGAACTTGGTTAAAAGTCCCCTTGAATGGGCTCTGTATTTCCCTGTGATGAATCAGTGATGAGTACAGAGAGTCCCAAACTGGCCACATTTACCCTGACCAGCCCTTCTGTGTGTCATTTAATAACTTCCTGAATGATGGCCTACTTTAATTCAGTTAAACCAGTCACTTTGGGTTCATTTCCTTTTACGTGTGAGTCAAAACTGCTGTTTCTTTTCACATGATAATTTTATGTTTATCCAAAATTCTCATACTGCTAACTGACTCCAGCATTTCAAATAAATAAATATGCAAAACCACAGACTATTTTTTATACAGTTGGATCATTATCATGAGCGTGCTTCCCCTGAATATCCATTGGTGACGAATAAAAATAGCAAAATCTATTTGTTTCTGTTCATGTCCCATCAGTTCTTTGGACTTTATGCAAATAATGCTCTCTTTGGAGCAGGACAAGGCCCTGTTCAGGTTTTAGGTAATGCAAACACTTAAACTTTTGACCCCAGTCTTTAGTGTTGATGTAGGATTCATATGCTTTCGCTAATCTAAGAGGCCAATGTCCTGGTACTTTTTTTAATAAACCACTGTGATGTAATATTAACAGCCCTCGTAGTCTATATATAGAAAACTACGCTGCAAAACCAACTGTTTTGAATTAATTGTTTTTGTGATGTCATGAAAACCAAGGCATTTACATATGTCCACCTATTTAGCCTACAAGCCCATTCATGTAGAGTGTTTTTGGTCACAAAAAATCACAAAGGCCATAAGTTGACCTCATGGGAAAAAAATAAAACACATACAAACTGAAGGACATCGACCCTTTAATGACCGGCCTGTTAGTATTCTGGGGTCGCCATGACTACAACACAGATATAGCCATTTTGTTTATTATTCAAAACCACCAGTAAACTTACACGTGTATTCTGGGGTTTTACATGGAATGTTGTTGGTAAAATACTGTTTTTTTAATGAGAAAATAAGTTTTCTTTGGGGACTATTTTGCCTCACAACACCCTGCATGAACCCCTACACTATAAATGGATTAAAAAATGACTAAAATACATATTAAGCCAAAACGTGATCACAAAACTATCATAAAACAATGTGTCGGACATCAGGCAGAATATATCTAACCAGTTCATGTAATGACTTTATGTGAAGGATCTTTTGGAGGTGTGTGTCGGGCTCCTTTCACCACCACTGTGAACAATTCTGACTCGGTAAGTTTGTCTAGAACGAAACATTACACACCAAATCACTCTGAATGTCTTTGTTTGCATCTTAGCCATTTAATTATGCAGATTTTTTTTTAATCGAGTTCCCCTTTGAAGTCTCCAAGTATTGGAAATTGCCAAGTAGCCGAAAAGCCCAGTAACTACTTTCCTTCCCAACATTATAGAGCTATTATGTTATAAAAAAATTATAATAACGCGCTTATAACAGTTATAAATAAGCTCAACCAACACGATTTTAAACATTTAAACATATCTAACTACCTGCGTTTAGTTAGAATTAACTTCATTGCAGCTTTAAGATTTTGTAGCTCATTAGATTTCAAAATAAAAGTCCTATTGGCATCTCATGGAAATAAATTTCACAGAATTTTAGTAAAGCCTAATGTTTTTGTGTGTTTTTCCACTCTTTTGTAACAGCTGCTGCCTGCGTGACCGAATATATCTGGAAATATAATGCTATTACATGTAATTTAATATATTTTAATCCGGTAGCACCGGAAAAGGCTTGTCGGCTGTTGAATGCTGGAGAGCCGCTAAGCTATCGCAGAATGATGATCATCTCTGTCGGGTCTCTGTGTGAAACACACAGCTATCCAGCGAGTTCATGTTAATTATCCGATGAGCTGGCAAAGCCAAATTTCGTTTGTGAACCAAAAAAAGATCCCTGGAACTTATTTTTTAATCCCGGAGATCGTTTTTGTACTGTGGTGCGCCGTGGCGGTGTAACGATATAGCTAAGGCTAGCCGTCTCACTAACGTTAGCTGGCAAAACTAAACTTTCTTGTGAAAAAATGTCATCTTTTTTATGGAGGTAAGACCGACACTACGTTTGTTTTGGTGTATTTTGACATACAAAAAGTTTTTACTGCTTAAAAAGTTGTCCTAACTTCGTTGTTCGGCTGCATACGTAGAAAGAGATTTTGTTTTTTTTTCGCTTCTTAGCTTAGCTGGTTGGCTAAGTGGGTAAGGTTGTTGCCTAATAATATGTTGGGTCGTAACTAGGGCACCTAGACAGTGCGCGTAATTCTTGTCGCCCGGCCTGAGCTCTAGGCACTACCTAGGCGCCCTAGTAATAACGCTAGTGCGCGTATTGGATAACAGCCTTAGTTTACCGAGCTAAGCATCTGGCAAAATTAGCTAGTTTGACTTAAAAATGACTGCTTTTATCAAATTGATGTAATTAGTTATATATTTTAAATGACTCCTGTAAGATTTCCCCGCTCTCTCTTTACCTAGAAAAAGAAATAAGACCTTATTTAAGCCGGCTAATTCTTTAGCTACCTGGATATGAGGATTTTATTAACTTGGGTTACAGTGAAAATGTAAATATGGTGATAACTGACTGTCACTGAATTGAAAGAGTAAACGCATTCTTAAAAAAAGATGGTTCTTCAAGGGTTCTTTAGTAAATATTTAGAATCGTGAGCGCTGTATAGAACTTAAATTGTTCTCTGCATGGTGAAAAGGTTCTTTAGACTGATTGAGATGATTCTGTATAGAACCTTTTTGGAAATGGTTCTGTGTAGCACCAAAAAGGCTTCTGCTATTGTTACGATATCAAGCTTGTCATCGATGTCAAGAGTGTCATTGAATTAAATGTGTAAATAATTTAATGTGTTTTGCAGGTTTAACATGTCATCACCATTAGTTTAGAGCTAGGCTTTAGTGTTGGTGGGTTAAATGTACTTTTGATGTTTATTATTTTCAGAAGCTGCATTTGTCAAATTAATTTTTACTATAGCAGTCTAAACTGATTTTAAGCTGAATGTATCAATGTCAGGGTATTATTTTGCGACAGTCTTCCGAGCCAGCGCATTCAGCCATCTCAGAAGCAGTTCACTATGATTTTAAATTGGATATCTTGATAAACTGGTTGTCATAAATTGTACAAGATCCCATTTTTACTTTTCACATAAATCGTTCAAGCTGTGTAGCTTGTATCTTACACATCCAGGCAAATAACTTCATCTCTTATACATAACAAGGCATAAATATTAGGCTCTTCTTTATAAGCTGCACTTTTGAATGTTTTTGATATAGTTTATGCGTTTAAAGAACTGCAAGTTAAGATTGAAATATGGATGCCACACCATGTTCTAGGATCCGGATGTGAGCTTGTAAAGAACACATGTCTATTGACAAGAGGCTTAATTGTAGACTTCACAAATATAGTTAAGGGTTAGTACAGACATTAGTCTTCTACCTGTAGCTTTGTGTGGTGCTTGTGGTTGGTGGTGTGCCCACATTAACCATTAAATTTGTATTTGTTCTCTTCAGATTTAGTATATCTGCATATAAACCAGTTAATTTTCATTAGAATTAACATGGATTTTTTTCATTGATTTCTCTTGTGAACATAAGAAGTCAAATTGAAATTGAAAACTTTCAACTGAAGAGTGAGAACTGACACTTTTAGCAGATGAGGGTCCAAACAGCTTCATTCACATTCATATAAATTCTATGTACATATGAACATTTCAACTATGTACACAGAAGCTGCTGTGAAAGCAAATAAAGGCGTAGTAACCAAAAACTAAATGATGTCATTTTTGTTTTCTTTAGGGGAGTTTTTTCAAACATTTTACCAGATTTTTTTGGGCGTCAGTTCTCCCAAAAGCTCTTCTTTTTCCCTTTTTAAAAGAGTTTAAAAGAGTAATTTTTGCTTTAGCTTGTAGGACGGCTGGACTGTTAGTGCTGTCGTGGCCTGACGAAGTCTCGTGCACAAAGAGGCTCTGTTGAAATCAGCTTGGGTTTGGGGGAGGCCCACTCTAAGAATGTTTAACACATACTCATACAGTGCCGTTTGGCTTTAGAGAGCAAGTTATTTTTCTTTTACATGCTGCTACATCACTCTTGATGAGTGTTATTCTCATCTTGCTGACTCTGCACCCACTTTTATACTACGCTAACCACACACACTTTTACACTTTCGCTTTGGTAGACCATATTAGCTGTTTAACATTTTTTTCTTACCTGTCTATGTGGAGTGTAAGTGCTTACACACTTCAGGACAGAGTGCCAAGTCAGTCAGATTTATGGCTTTTAGGGCAAAGTTATAAGTATTAATTTAGAATCATATAAGAAAATGACAGATCAAATTAAAAGACAAATACCATGAGATGTAGAGTTTTAATTAAATGCTAAGTTAAAGAGAGACATTTTTAGTTGCTTCTTAAACATGAGCTCTGAGCTTTACTGTCTATAATAAAAAGTAATAAAAAGTCTGCTTTCTATAATAAAAGGTGAAATGAGCTCAACAGTTTAGAAGCAGAATAACTGAACTAGGCCTCTCCATGTTTTCTGTATTTTACAGAGGGTATTTGTAGAAGGTCACTATCTGCAGATCTAAGATTATGTGCTGGAACATAAAACAGACAGACACTCTGTGATGTAAGCAGGTGCTGTAAAGTCATTTAGAACTTTAAAATCTATTCTGAACGATACAGGCGGTCAGTGCAGTTCTTTTAAAACAGGAGTGACGTGATTTCTTTTTTTTTCTTTTTGTTAGGATTCATGCTGCCACATTTTGTACAAGTTGTAAAGGATGTATTGTTTTCTTAGGAAGTCCAGTAAGATCATTACAGTGATCAACTCTGCTTTAACAAATGCATGAATAAGTTTCTCTGCATCGCTCTGAGACAGAAAAGGTGTCAATTGATAAAAAGCTACTTTAGTGACTGTGTTTACATGCAGGATAAGACTTAAAGTTCAAAGTCTAAAATCACACCCAGGTTTCATACTTCAGGTTTAGTACATGAAGCTAAAGAATCAAGTTCCTCAATCAGTATTTCTGTTTTTTCGTAATTAAATGGTAGAAAATTAAATGCTTAATTACCACTCATAATTCACATACTGCGTCACACCAAATCCAATTAAAAAGGACTTGTAAACCCTCTATCTAATGAACCATGCAGTTGTTCACTGTTCTAGAAGTACTGGCGGTGTCTACGTTGTGCTCTGAAAAGCATATTGTAACATAATTTGATGGTGTTTATTAAACTCTGGAAGAGCAGATTGTTTAGATCAGTGGCTCCCAAACTGATACTCAGGGCCCCCTAGACAGTCCTCAGTTTTGCTTACTTAAGTTTGGCTGAAAAATACGGACTGTCTGGACAGCCCTGAGGGCCAGCTTGAGAACCACTGGTTTAGACAACACTGGGAACTACGCTAAAATGTCAGTATTTTATTCATTTTACTGCAGCACTCCACAAGTAAATGTCACATTTCCCTGCTATGCTAATCTAGGTAGATTTGGTCCCAAGTGTATATCACTATATTTCTTTTCTAGAAAGTAAGGAAAATTAGGTTTTCCGTGATATGGTGGCTTTAATACAGTGAAAAAAATGCATATATTTTATTAGCGCTAAATACATTATCAAATATCAATTTGAAATATCTGAAAATTGTCCAGTGACAATATTTGTAAGCAAATATCTGCCGATATCGAAATAATTCTGATATGCTTGTGCATTCCTACAAATTGTATTAAATAAAGCAGCTGCATTGTAGCCTGCCCCTGTGCATAATAGTGATCTCATAAAGCAGAGCAACTGAGCTTGAAAACAATACTAAAATAAATATGCTGCACCCAGACGCAGAGTTTTGATCGTTGGCAACCGGTTGTAAATGAAAGATGCACATCCTTTCAGAGATTCCAATGTACTTTTTTTCTTTCCAAAATAATATGTTGTAAAAATGCATGTAAATAGGTGTGTCCACCAGGCTGTGTTTCTTACTTTAAGAGAGCAGTAGGAGGATTCAAAATGTGCATTATCACCATGCAGACTGCCAACGAATTCACCATTGATTTGTCAAAAAAGTGTATTTTGATCCATATTTTAAAATTTTAATTTAAATTAAGGATGATGTTGGAATCACATCTGTATCCTCAGAGATACTTGACCATTATTTAAAACTGATATTTGATGACATATTTGTTGTACTCCTGAAGTGCAGAGTGTTTAGGTGATGCTGGGTTACTGCACTAAAATGCCTGCTTTATATCCATTTTACTGCTTTTGTAAACCTACAGAAATAAATGTTCTGTTTCTCTGTAATGCTGAAGTGGGTGAAGTCCCAATTTTTAATATTTTATAAATGTGTGTGTGTGTGTGTATGTACACATATAGACATCTGCATCAACATACCCACCTATTCATCCTACAGCAGTTTAGTCTGCCGATTTGCACTGAAGTTACACAGAGTATTTCAGCCTGTATTGACTTTTGAAAGAGGCAGTCAGAGCAGTGCCCATTTACATGGATCAGTCTTAAAGGCACAGCAACAAAAACAGCCTAAATCTAAAGGATAAATTGATGTTGGAAAATCATGTAAAAGTATATTATGACCGTTTTTGGTTTGTAAAACTACAGAATTATTAGAAGTAGACCTTAAACTTAAAATGCAGGAAAAGTGTAGGAGGTGGGTCCTTTAAATGAGCACTGGTCAAAATACAATTCTGCTTTAAAAACCCTTTATATTATTCATCAGAGCAGTGTTCTCGTTATATTTAGCAGTGCTATGAAATCGATTAGAGTGCATCTCTGTGAAAGCAGTTCCTGTATGACTTGCCCTGAAGAGTTTTGATTTGCTGTCGGTCTGTGTTTATTTTAGGAGCGTGACTGAATGCAGTTGTTGGTTTTGGGTTTTAGCGTAAAGGTAGAACGTGTTGAAAGAGGCTTTTGTGTGGTTGAATATTGCCTTTGTGTGACAGATTTACATATCAAGTGTCTAGCTACACCTTAGAGACTGCATAGAGTAAACATGCCATTCACTTTAACTAATCTGAACCATGTGTGTGTGTCTGTGTCCAGTGTGCGTCCGGCCGTGCTGTTGTGTCTGTGTGTGTGTGTTTTAGCTGATACTGGAGACACTCCACTCCTGGAGGGCTGGCAGGACGTGTGGCTTTTCCGTTTTTTCCTCAACATCCTCGGCTACTCCACCATCGTCATTCCGGGATACTTTCTCATCAGCTACTTCAATCGGGTCAACTACCTGGAAACAGGTGCAGTAAATCATCAGGCTTGCTGGAATACTTTTATCAACAACCATCTTTGTTCAAAGAAATAGTTTGAAAAAATAAAATAAAAAAAATCTATTTCAAATTTTTTCTCTTAAAATTATTTTCTCTCTTTTTCTCCAAGTCGATCAGCTTGTTTGGTCTCTCTTTAGTTTTGCAGTAGAGCTATGACACTAATGTACCTAACGAGAAGTGGAAGGTTTCATCCCACCAATTAGCACTGTGCTAAGTGCATGTCTAAATCACCACTCATTCACCTTAAAATCAAGTTGTTAAGAAATCTCTAATAGATTTGATTATGTGATTTCTGACATTGTATGACAGTCTGCTTTGTATAAACATTCACAAAAGTGCCTTAGATCACTAAAAGCAGCTCAGCCTTATTTAAGTCTGAATTTTGTGCATACTTTTGTTTATCTTTAGAGACAACATGACTTTTTTGACTAAACTGAGGGTAAGAGGAGGATTTTGTGCGTTTGGTTGTTTGCCAGACTATTGTATTAAGCTGATAAGATAAGATAGTCCTTTATTAGTCCCACTGCTGGGAAATTCACAGTATTACAGCAGCAAAGTGAGTGCAAGGCTTTCAAGAAAAGAAATAACAAGAAGAGAATTAACAAAGTAATTGACCCTGTTAATTACAAGGTTAAGTTACTAATTGCTGTGTGTGTGTGTGTGTGTGTATATATATATATATATATGTATGTATATATATATATATATATATATATATATATATATGTATATATATATATATATATGTGTGTGTGTATGTATGTATGTATATGTATATGTATGTATGTATATATACACTAAAAATAAAAACGTCTAAGACAAAGAAAAATCTATTCTAATCTAAAATCTATTCTATTCAATCTATTTAATCTATTATAGATAAATAAATAAATACAGCAAAAAACATATTTAAAGTTAAGGATATTTTATTAGAATTGCACATGGAGTATTGCATATACCTGTATATGATCTGGTTTAAAATACTTCTTTTTAAGCACCGATATGACCCTCCTAAGCTTTTTCTAGTGCTTGATGTTTCTAACAGTGGTAGTTCCACTGTTGCTTGTTTATCGTACCATTTAATCCTAAACATGGACAATTGCAATTCCCATTATAGTTCGCATTAGGGCTCAACTGAAATATCAGATGGAATACTCACTGTGATGTGCATATTACGAAAGAGAAACCCTAATGATTTCTGTGAGATAATATGTGATTTTGGTTAGTTTTTATCTGACATAATGAAGCTTGTTGTATTTAAGCTCTGCAAATATTGTAGTAAGTCTCTTATTTCACTGTTAAGTTTTGATTGTAAACTAAACGGTGACATTCTTGAAATGCCCAGCAGATAATTGTCCAATCAGGATTATTCTTTTCTGTAATTTCTAGGTAGATACATATACAGCCAAGCAACCTCTCCCATTGGTTAGGACTTCAGGAGCTAAATTAAAGGCCTAATTAACCAGCAACATATTTAGGAAGTGACGGTGGAATAAACCACATTTTGATTTGTGGTGAGTGGGGCCAACTTTGTGAGGAAATACGTCACTTTAGGTCTTATGAAAGTTTCACTGACCAAAAAAAAATGTCCATGTGAATCATCTTTAGCTTAGCGACAGTATACTGTTTGAATCCCATAGAGGTGCTAACAGAATTGAGTTTTATCAAAGAGTTGTTTTGTTTTAGCTCTAATGGTCACCACTGCTATATACCTCCATCTTGCCCCAAACAACTCCGGCACATCTGATGAAAGTTTATTCTGTGTTTGCAGGGCGGGGTCTTTGTTTCCCTGTAATAAAGACATGCGTGTTTGGGAGTGACTCTAAGACCACACTGCTGGACGATGCATCTTCAGCAACCAGAAATGAGGCAGAATCCGCTTCATCAGCACGGCAAGCCTTCAAACTCATCTTCTGTGCTGCTGGACTGCAGGTGAGCTTTCATTGTAGGTGATATCTTCAAGCTGTAGATACATTTGTGACATTTCAGGGGGTTTGTTTACTAAAAATAGACATAATTCCTTTTTACTTGCCCATTTTCCAACCTCTCTTTATCTCTTAGAATTAAACAGGCTGTTTTTGTTACTGTGCCTTTTAGACTGATATATGTAAATGACCTCAGTTCTGATTGACTCACCTGTATTGTGCCTTGTTAAAAAAGCATTCCAGGCTGAAACACTCCTAATAACTTCAGTGTAAAATGCTCACCATTCACTTCTACACCTGCTCAGGCTTGCAATCACCCAATCATGTAGCAGCAGCACAATGTATAACATCACCAGACATGAGCAAAGAGCTTCAGTTAATCTTTCAAAACAAATGTCAGTATGGGGAAATACTGTGTTCTGACTGACTGTGGCATGGTTGTTTGTGGTTTGAGGGTTTAAGAGGCTGCTGATCTCCTGGGATTTTCACGCAAAACAGTCTCTAGAGTTTCTACAGAATTGCGCAAAGCCAACATAAAGACTACAGTAACACAGTTCATTACAACAATAATGAGAAAAGCATCTCTGAACACACAACGTGTCAGGCTTTGAGGTGAATGGGCTACAACAGAAGACCACAACAGGCTCCATTCCTGTCAGCCAAGAACAGGAATCTGAAGCTACTGTAGGCTCACCCAACTAGACAGTTGACAATTGTAAAAACATCACCTGGTCAGGTTTCCTCAATTTCTACTGCGACATGTACATGTTTGGGTCAGAATTTGGCATAAACAGCGCAAATTCATGGACACAACCTGCTTTGTGTGAACATTTTTGGCTGCTGTTGGTGTAATGATGTGGGAAATGTTTTCTTTTCACACTTTGGGCCCCTAGTTGTGCCCTTTTGGCCCCATAAGTTGTGTGTGCTGCTTGGATCTAGATGATTGCCACTTGCTAATTAATTTGCGGAGGGTGGCTCTCATAGCGGATGTGACAGTCCACAGAAATCACATGAGTTTCACACAAGAACTAAATGGAAGCTGATGAAATGATGTGATTAACTGTTTTCACCCACCACTCAAAAGCTACTGAAGAAAAAAATCTGATTATGCAAAAATGAAACCAAGTTTACCACTCACGAAATCTTCCTTTGTGTTTCGGTACCATTCTTAGTTGTGATTGACCCATAACAGTTATACACTGTATCTGTAGGTACATGTGGGCAATATGGCAAAAATATTATATCATGATATTTAGTTTCCTGACATTTAATAAGTTGGAACAGACAAAATAGACCCTGTAGTGCCACATATGCGAATACTGTAGTAACAATAAGTCTCAAACTGCACTGCACTAAATCCAATTAAACAGGGCTAATTGTGCTCATTTTGTAATGAAACATGTAGTTAATCTGTGTTCTTTAACTACTGGCAATATCCATGATATGCTCAGAAAAGCGTACTGTGACATAAAAATGATAAAATGATAAAAAAAATTGCCATATTGCCCACCCCTATCTGTAGATTTGCTGAATAATGACCATGATCTGCTGCTATACTGTGTTTTAAGGACATGTAGTGATTCACCCTCAGAAAACTCTGCTGGCAGAAGACTTTCACTACTTGATAGCAACATTTGCTTTGTAGCATCAGTGCAGACCTAAAGTTGTATACTTCAGACATTACAGCTGTCTTGAATGGTTGACTAAAATTGGGGAAAGGGGTAAAATTGTGTTAATTTGATGTGACTTCAAACTTTCAGTTTAATTTAGCAGAAAATTTCCTTCCCTTTCCCTTCCAATTTTTGTCCTGCAGGTGTCGTATTTGACGTGGGGCGTCTTGCAGGAGCGAGTGATGACCCGTTCATACGGCGGCTCTGAGACGGAGGGTGGCGGAGAGCGCTTCAGGGACTCTCAGTTTCTGGTGTTTATGAACCGCATCCTGGCACTGACAGTGGCTGGACTGTGCTGTGTTCTGTTCAAGCAGCCGAGGCACGCGGCCCCCATGTACAAATACTCCTTTGCCTCCCTGTCCAACATACTCAGCAGCTGGTGTCAGTACGAGGCCCTCAAATACATCAGCTTCCCCACACAGGTAATATGCAGTGACTGTCACTTTTAATCAGCATTATATGACAATTGGTATTTTCTGCTCTTAGGGTCCACCTACGGTTGCAGAGTGTATTTCACTTTTACACCACTGTTGTAAATACAAATCGCACTTTGAGCCCCCCCTCACGGACAGCTGTGTTTGTTGAGGAGCTGTAGGATACAGAACCTGGCTCCCCCTTTGCACACACGCACATCATGCAGGCATATGTCTTTGCATGCTAACTAAGCCCGAAACGGGACTAAGGTAAGATGACTTTTGGTATCCGGAAAAACTACAAAACTCTGTGAGACAGCAATGACACAGATAAAGTTACAGCCTACGTCACAATCTTTCGTAAATAACCCTGGCATGAATGTACACTCTTCTGTCGGATTTTCACTGACGGTCCTGCATCATTTAATCACTTTTAGCTCTCGCCAACAAGTAAAAGCCAGTTTGAGATTTACCCTCCGGTCTCTATCTCAGTCACTCTCTCTTTTTCTCTTCCTCGCTTTCTCCTACAACGTCTTTGGTCACTTCGCAGCCTCTGCCAAGATGTCCATGGTGGCAATAAAGAGCTGCTTCTTATAACTAGCTGAAAACCCGTAGTTGAACTAAATGAACTAAGCATTACACAGTTCTCACGAGGGGTCTCGTGCTTATTCTTCTATAGTTACATAGCATTATAGCAGGCATTCCATCCCGAAGTGGCAATGACAGAGATGCCATTGTCCCTTTTATAAATTAGTGTATCAAGAAAATCATTCTGAAGCTGTTATTTTAAGGTAAAATAAGGTCACCTAATGTTGCTTTAAAGGCAAAAGCAGCAATTCTAAACCACCGAAATGAAGAGTTGTAGATTATTTTAAGTAATCAAATTTAAATCTCTTAATATAAAATGAATTTCTTAAGAATATACTTTTACAGCTCGGAATATATTTATTTGGCTTTTGTGTTTTTGTGAGGCCAGTGGTGTCTTTGTGTGCTGAATCTGCTCCTTATGGACCTCAAGGTGTTTGGGGAGTAAGGGTTATTAAGAGATGAGAAATCCTTGTTTATGCCCATCGGCAAACTGCAGGAGGCTAAATGTACTCAGCAGGGTGTAATATAGAACAAAGACACGTTTTGGCTTGAGTACCCCGTATGTTCTTCACTGTTACAGTGGCCAGTTTGCTTTCTGTGTAGCGCATAAATCTTCACTTCTGAAAAGACAGATTAATACACTCACCATCCACCATCTGGGGGAAAAAGTCACTGCACTTTGATGAAAGGTTACGGGAAGACAAGAACTGTGTCTTTTAAATGGTGTGAGATGATTAATGGTGCTTAATATGACTAGGAACGTGAACTCACTAAGTAAAAAAAAAAGGTCCGTTTTGATTTTTTTGATTTCAGGTTGACTTGAAAATTTACCCTCTTAATGAATCAGCAGTCTGCAGATGTCACTTCGCATGATAATGCACATATTTTAAATTCTCATGCTGCTATTTCTTACAGTAAGAAACCAGGCCTGATGGGATTTTGTGTATCTTTTCAAATGAGGTTCTTTAGCTTATTATTTTCTAGTAACATATTTTGGAGCCTTTTAGAGGCTCTGCATTGTTTGTTAGTGTTCAGTTAAGTTCAGTAAGTGTTCAATTTAATGTCAGTTTCTGTAGTTTGGCATTTTTTTAAAAACTCTGCCCACTCAATGAAAAATTTCTCTCTTGCCAATATAATCAATTGTTGGGCCTGTAATACTTGGTGGGACCCTCATTTTTTTTGTTGTTGCTGTTTTGTTTCTATATTGCAGCACTTCATATTTTAAACACACACTGACTTGCGGTTAATGTGAACACAGCCAGCTTTAACACGCAAATGTCTATTATCATTTCCATTCCCTGTACATTCAGTTCATTGCGTTTATTATATGTAATTACATAACAACGTCATTCATTCAAGTTTTTTCTGTTTGTTTCAGTGACAAAAAAATAACCAAAAACATGGGATGTGTTTTTTTTTCACAAGATAAGACTGTACACACAACAATAACTTACCGTGGGAAACCAGAATGAAATATAGTTTAGCATCTACACGCTTCACACAGTTTCTCCCCTTTTGTCTGTGTGCTAAAACAAAATATAAAAAGAGGTGTTTCACATATACGCCAGGGAGGTACACAAAGTACCTATTTTAAAACTGGATTTGCACATGTTCACCCTATAAAAAGTTTAGAGAGGGTTGGTTTTGTAGCTTTATAGGCAGTAACAAGGGCTAAATGTGGGAAATTCTTGACTGGCCGAGTCAGTCACTCAGTTTAAATCCAGTATAGTATTACAGACAGAGGGCTGAAGTCCTAAAAACAAATAGGAAGTAAATAGATAAGTGCCTTGCGGTGTGGCAGAAATCACCAGGGAAAATACCCAGAGTCAGGTGATGTCTGGGCATAATACACTTCAGGTTATCATTACATGCAAAGGATGTGCAACTGTGTGTTAAACATTACTTCCTTACTGGGATTTTTGTCTATCCAGATACTTGGAGTTTCCTAAAATGGGCTAAATGTAGAGCGCATGGTTTGCCTGTTGGGTTATATGTGGAACTACTTTAAAATAAAAGCTGACAGTCTGCATTTTAGTTCCTACAGATTGTTGCACCATTTAACCCATAACCTTTAAAATTTGCTATAACTATTCATTATAATATGTAAATTTTTGGTGAGTTATTTTGTGAATTACATTTAGGCTACACTCAATTTACATTCTGTATCAACAGCAAACTCACTCTATACCATCACAGAAAAGAACTTTATTAAAGGGGAAGTTCACCAGTTTTTCTAAATTTCTAATAATTAAATGGTGAAGATGTGAACAAAGTCATTCAGAGTGCTTTGGTGTGAAATGCTCCGTTCTAGACAAACTTACTCACAATTGTTCACAGTGGTGGTGATAGGAACCAGACATCCACCTCTAAAAGCTCCCTTACAGAAGGTTTTTACACAAAAGGGTACATGTGGGATGTTGTAAGGCAAAATAGTCCCCAAAGAAAACTTATATTTTCAGATTTTCCACTATTTCACCATCATCAACATTACATACATGGATAAACTCAGATGACACGTGTAGGTTCACTGGTGGTTTGGCATAATAAATAAAATGTCTGTATTTGTGTTGTAGTCATGGTGACCCCTGATTCCTATCACCACTACTGTAAAAAAAAATCTGGGTTAGTAAGTTTCTCTACAATGCACAATTTCTCATCAAACCACTCTGCTTACATCTCAACTACTGATTTATGAAATCAAAACGTGTTAAAAACATGACACATCAGCCCACATCAGATGTACAAAACCCAACACAAAGGCCACAGCAAACTGATAGACTGAAAACAGGTGCAGCCCCCTAATTAAAGGAGCACAGTTAGTGTTGCACGTTTTGCTTAATAAGCCTTTTTTTGTTGTTAGGTTGCACCCAAAGTGCGTAAGACAGGGGGTCATGAGGAGTCCAGGACCTCCTAATTAACTTCTTGGCCCCCTTGAATGACTCAAAATCAAAATTCTGGGGGGTTCCTGAAAAATAAACTTATGAGGTTATGCTGTCTCATTGTTTAGCAGCTTCACCCACAGTCACTGAGCTTCTGTCTTTGGTATTCTTAACTAACTAGAGATGCAGCACTGCTCTGCCTCAAGGTGACGCTGTAGCAGACTGATTCACCCAGTTGGTCCTTCATAGCCTAGCAACTGTAACTATGCCCTGGATACCTCTGAAAAACTTTACAATGTGCTGTAAATATGCCATAGCTGCAAATCTGAAAACTCACCCAGTTTTCCAAGAGACTGGTGTAATGAGTGAATTCATTTCTCACACTAAAGACATTTTGATGTGAGTTAGCAGTCAGTCAACGCTGAAGAAACCAGCCAACATGCGACCCCCCTGACACTAGAAAGTATTTCCCACACTGGTTGCGCCTCATCTATAGGTGGTTTAAGCACTTTTTCTCCTTTGTTTTTGTTTCAACCTCAAAAAATCTAAAAAATGTTGTTTTTTTTCTTCATGCAAAAAAGGTCTGTGCCCATAAGTAGCTCAGTATGTGGCCATGAGGGACAGGGATGCAGTCTCACTTCACAAACACAGGGGCATGGATAAAATAAGGCTCCACCTACAGATGAAAACTTTTTGTGTTTCAGAAGTGTCATGACATTTTTTATTAATTAAAAAATTTAATGCATAAGTGTAAATCATTTGAACTATTATAAAAAACCCAAAACATCTCTATATTAATGTTTTGGGTTTAGACAGATCATAAAACAATCTTTGTAAATATCTAAGCTCTGAATACTTATTTTTCTAAATCTTTTTTTTTTTTTACTTTGGGACCATAGTCTGAACTGATTCAGTAGAAATGTCCTTATAATGATTAAAAAATAAATAAACAAATAAATACTGAGAGCCAGCGGCCCCCAGCTGTACCACTGTAGCCCACTGGTTAAAAAAAGAATTACACCATTCTAAAATTATGGCAGTTGAGAGTATTTTTAACCCACTATTACTTTGACACTGTAACTGAGTCTGACTCTTTCTCTGGCTCTTTCAGGTGTTGGCCAAAGCCTCCAAAGTCATCCCTGTGATGCTGATGGGTAAGCTTGTGTCGCACAAGAGCTACGAGTACTGGGAGTATTTCACAGCCGTGCTGATCTCCGTGGGTGTCAGCATGTTCCTCTTGTCCAGCTCCACCAACAAACATCCATCTACTGTCACCACCTTCTCTGGTGTCATCATCCTGGCTGGATACATAATGTTCGACAGCTTCACCTCCAATTGGCAGGTATGAATGGGACAGTAAGAAAATTATACCCCACCAGTTGGCACTGTGCATACCGCATGCCCGATCATCACACATGCTTGTCAAAAATAGATTTTCTTATCTGGTTTCTGTCACTGTATGATGCATGATTATCTATGAAAATGGACAAAAGTGTGTTGCATAGTTAAAAACAGTAGTAGTAGCCATCCAAAAGGCTGAATTTAAGTAATGTTAAGTCTATATTTTAAAACTTCTTAACAACTTAATGCAGTTTAAAACAAGTGTGTGATCATTTAGGCATGCAGTTAGCACCATGGCATGTGGTGGCTATAAGCTTCCATTATAAGTTGGCAAGATTAGCCTCATAGCTAAAAATGCTAACTTAAAGGAGAATTTCACCAATTTTTCAAGATGTTTTGCATAGTATAATTGCTGAGATATAAATTAATTCAGAGTGGTTTGGTGTAAAATGGTTGATTTGTAGAGACTGATTTCTTTACAGTGGTGGTGATAGGAACCAGGGGTCGCTATGACTACAACACAAATATAGCCATTTTATTTACTATCCAGAACCACCGGTGATCTACATGTATCTTCTGAATTTTATTCGGAATGTTGATGATGGTAAATTTGGGTAAAGCTTAGTTAAATTTGGGTAAAAATAAGTGTACTTTGGGTACTATTTTTGCCTTATAGCCCCAGAAAACATGATGTAGTCCAAACCCTTCTCAAAACAGTTGTAAAACAGTGTCTCAGGCACCAGGCAGTGAATTCATAACCATTTGATGTAATAACATTTCTTGTGAGGGAGCTTTTAGAGGTGGACGTCTGGTTCCTATCACCACCACTGTGAACAATTCTGACTCGGTAAGTTTCTCTAGAACAGAGCATTTCATACCAAACCACTCTGAATCACTTAATTTACATTTGAACCTTTTAAGAAACCTTTTTGCGCAGAAATAAAAAAAAAACACAGTGGAATTGCCCTTTGATGTTTTGGCTGAACTGTCACTTGGTTGAGGATTTTGTTGGGTATGTAAGGAAGTGAAAACCCCTCAGTCCATTTTCTAGCAGTACTCTGGCTTAATTGCAGTGATTGTAGACATGAGCATAGTTAAAAGTAGTCTCTATCACTGGAAATAGAAATTAATAACTTGTACTTAATTGTTTTTTTTGACTGGAAAATTGCTATCTCTGACTTTTGCACAGTACTGAAAATAGTCAACAGTGGGAGGTGCACGACAGCGCAGTACAGATCTACAAATAAATCGGAATTTGTAGATGTGTTGACAATACAATCTTTCTTTCCACATCAACTGAACTAACAACAAATGCATATTTAACTTACTGGTTATCAGGAACAGTCATGCTCTGGTACAGTGAACAAACAACACACCCATGTGAGGTGCAATAGTGCATCACTTCGACAGGTGAAACCAGACTTTCTCATAGCGTATGTGAATAAAAACCATTAACTGTTCCATTTCTCTTGGCAGGACAACCTGTTCAAGCATAAGATGTCGTCAGTGCAGATGATGTTTGGAGTGAACCTGTTCTCCTGTCTCTTCACTGTGGGTTCTCTGCTGGAGCAGGGTGCGTTCTTTGACTCTCTGGCCTTTATGTCCCGTCACTCAGAGTTTGCCTTCCACGCTGTGCTGCTGTCCATCTGCTCTGCCTGCGGCCAGCTCTTCATCTTCTACACCATCTCCCAGTTCGGCGCCGCCGTCTTCACCATCATCATGACCCTGCGGCAGGCCATCGCCATCCTGCTGTCCTGCTTCATCTACGGCCACGCCATCACCTTTGTGGGTGGCCTCGGGGTGGCCGTGGTCTTCCTTGCTCTTTTCCTCCGTATTTACGCCCGCAGCCGCATGAAGAAGGGCAGCAAGCGCACTGCCCAGCCGCCTGTTCAGAAGGTCTAGATGAAGGACACTGGAAAACAAATCTGTACGGAAAACCACATTTTTAGTGGTTTGGCTTGTTTTGGGGTTTTTATTTGTCTGTCTGTGTGTCTCGCACAACTTTGTTTCTACTCTTTGTATATACACATATATATATGAACAGGTACAGAAAGGGATGACTTTTTTTTGTTTTGTAAAGAAAAGGGATTTAGACTTGACTCTGCTGTCACGTCAGGAGAGATGGGAGGAATAGCTTATATACTGAAAAGTGAGTGTGTATGTGTGGGAGTTGCTGAATGTTTTCATGGGGGTGATATTACTGAGCCAGTGACTGGTCACAACTTGTTTGAGGTTTTGTTTGTTGCGTTGGATGAGTGTTGAACCTTCTTTCTCATTTTTGTTTAATGATTTAAGCATAAGCTTTTAGCTTTTTTATTTATAGTCGCTTTAAATTTTAAGTCCAATCCAAAAAGTCACAACAATCATTTCAGAGAACATATTGTTTGTCTTTAAGAAAACACATTTGTCTCTAGGCCTGTCACGATTATGAGATTTTAGCTGCCAACTGTTTAATTGCTGTTTCAATAATTCCAATTAACAATTGTATTTTTTGTTCATTGTGTGCAGGTATTAAGCTACAAGCCTAAAGTGGCCATATTCGCTGTTTAGCTGTCTGGCTTTGTAGCTGTCAATACTTAGTAGCTCCCAACTGCCCTGTAAAGGTAACATTTACTCACTTACAGCCTCTAGAGGTGTTAACAAACATCAAATAATGTAACATTACTCACCTCCACCCAATAAAAGTGTTATTAACAAACATCAAATAAACAAACGTCACTCGCCACTGCCCTCTAAAAGTAATTTTAACAAACATCTAATAAACAAACAGTTCTCATCGCTGCCCCTAAAGATGGTATCAAATAAATAAATATTACTCGCTGTCGCCCTCTAAAGGTGTTAAACAAACATCAAATAAACAAATGTCAATTACCGCCGCCCTTTAAAGGTGTTATTAACAAACATCTAATAAACCAACAGTTCTCACCGCTGCCCCTAAAGGTGTTCTCAAATAAACGAACATTACTTGTTGTTGCCCTCTAAAAGTGTTATTAACAAACATCAAATAAACAAACATTAGTTACTGCTGCCCTCTAAAGGTGTTATTAACAAGCATCTAATGAACAAACGTTACTGACCGCTGCCGTCTAAAGGTTTTATTAACAAACATCAAATAATCAAGCATTATTTACTGCCGCCCTCTAAAGGTTTTTACAAACATCAAGTATGCAAACGTTACTCACCGCCGCCCTCTAAAGGTATTAACATCAAATAAACAAATGTTACTCGCTGCTGCCCTCTAAAGATGTTACAAACAAACATCAAATAAACAAACATTACTGGCCACTGCCCCCTAAAGGTGTCATTAACAAACATCAAGTAAATAAACGTTACTCACCGCTGCCATCTAAACTTGTTATTCACTAACACCTAATAAACAAACAGTTCTCACCGCTGCCCTCTAATGGAGCTATTAACAAACATCAAATAAGCAAACATTACTCACTGCTGCCCCCTACAAGTGTTATCAAATAAACAAGCATTACTCACCCCACCCTCTGAAGGTGTTATTAACAAACATCAAATAAACAAGCTGCCCTCTAAACTTCACGAACACCTAATAAACAAACAGTTCTCACCGCCGCCCCAAAGGTGTTATCAGATAAATAAGCATTACTCGCTGCTGCCCTCTAAAGGCTTAAAATTACAAAGTCATATAAGTTAGAATTTTTGTTGTTTTTATAAGATCCCATGATGTGTCTCAGTGTATGTTTTGTTTTATTACTTTTATTCAGCCCAACACACTCGATTTACATTCTGTTTGTTGTGATATAAACATGTGACATCTGTGGAAAATTGCAGTAATTGTGATCTGGCGATCGTAGTAATTGTGACAGGCCTATAACGGAAATCAGGACCTTATCAGTTCGTCACGAGCGAAATTCTGTTTGAGAATCTCGTCTGAATATATTTTGATTGGATTGTGCTCTCTGTTGAGGGTCTAGTTTAAGGTTTTCATTGTGTTTTACCCCTGGCTATTTGGCAGAGTTTTAACATTGTTGCGTTGGTTGATTCGTGGCTGTAGACTCGATGCTAAAGGATTTTCAGCCACAGACCATAAGTGCCTATTGAACTATACAGTGGATTTTGTATGGCTGTGTAAATTTGCAGATGGCGGCATCATTCAGAAACTTTGATAAAGTGTTAACTTCGTAGAAACTCGGTTATGTTATTGAAGAGGTGTTTTGTGAATAGCAGTTTGCCTTGGAGTTGTTGGTTAAACAGTATGGTTGGCTTATTCTTTGGAACAGGCATAGCATAATACTTGACACTGATAAGTGTATGTTTGCACATGAATCTCACCTGTAAAGATGTTTTCTCATATGAAGTCCATTTTCCTGGTTTGCTGGAGTGACGATTATGAACAACATGATTGTGTATCATGATATCTAAAGTAATTTTGGAGTACATTCCAAATGGTGCTGGTTCATTCATTTGCATTCAGTGGAATTCTCATGCCTCTTAACTTCCTGCATTACATTGCTTGTTTTTCTGCTTGAGGATACGTATGAACGCATTTCTTTAACAGGTACCATTTACGGTTACGCGTCTTGTTTTTGTTTTCTCAAGAACCCTGCCTATCATGGAATCTTTTTTAAACGAATATTGATGAAAAAAACGCCCCAAGTGACCCTTAAAGGGATATTCTACCATTTTCTAACTTAATCTCTACCAACTGCATCTGTTTCAAACTATTTTTTACCTCCACCAATAATTTTGCCATGTTTCCTTGCACAGAAAACTTATAGTAGAAGCAACAGGGCAGTTGATAAACTTTGTGACTAAACGTTTTAAATGTATGACTATATAATGTAAATATAAAACTTCAAGAATCATTTTACAATTATTTGATTGAAGAATATAATGCATTGTTAAAATTAATTCACTGAAGAATTTATGAATATTTTCTAACAAAAATGTGTTTTGCGTAAACTTACTGATGGACTAAGGCAAATGCCCATTGGCCTCTATCACATTCAAAAGTATGAACACCCCTGGCCAGATTTTATGTTTTGTTGATTTTCTAAGTGAAAACAGATTAACACATCCTCTACAGAGAACACACTGAAATATGGCATTTAAAAGCAAGTTTTAATGCATAATTCCTTTTTTTTTGCTGAGTTTAACATATATACATATATACAACTTTTAATTGTGTATTAAAATGTGCAGAAGTGTGTTCTCTGTAGAGGATGTCTTAACTTATTTTCACTTAGAAAATCAACAAAACATGAAATCTTTTTACATGAGTTTTGAGGCAATGGGTTTTGTGTTCTTTAATACATGCAGACAAACATGTTAAGATTAATGTCTGTGGTAATTGACCGTCTGCTACAGATGCGACAGATAGGGATTAGTTTGAAAAATGCGGGATTGCCCCTTTAAAGGTAATTGTCCCATTAATTCTCCTTCTGACTCTGACTGTAGTATCGTAGAGCTGCTACTAGAGGAACAACTTCAATACTACAGTGTCTTCAGATTCAGAGAACAGATGTTCTTGAGTGAAGCAAGTGCAAACGTCAACACATTGTTCTACAGTTGAATGGAATTAAACTGCTGTTGTTAAACTAAGGCTTTGTATAGCCAAAGCCAGTTACAGTCAGAGAAAAGATACACACAACTCCACCCGTTATAAAAATAATGTGTGATACACAGTTCAAAGTTCTTATTTTCCTCCTCTGTTCTTAACCATTGAAAGATATTTATTTTCTTTATGTGTGAATAATGTTTTGTCTTACTTTTAGCAGCAAACATTTCTACAACAAATAATGTTCATGATGGTGGAGAATCCACCAACCAGAGCTTAAATAATCCTTTTTTTTTAAACTGCTTTGGGAAATAAGATTTGTGGATAACACTAATGTTTGGCTGTACGGTTTATGTTATGGGGAAACATTTCTTTGGACTTTTTTATGTGTGTGTGCAATAATAATCAGCCTTTTTTAAGTTAGACAGATTCATTTGTTGATTAGTGAATTTGGTCACATGATCAGATGCTTTCACCAAATGTGAAGGATGAACCACCAGCGTGCAGTAATGAAGTGTAATAATAATAATAGTCCTTATTCATCAAAGTTGCATATCTGATTGCAAACAAATTTGACAGTTTTGTTAATCATCAGTTAGGTGTATTTGTACGATTGAGCTCACATTCATCAAACTCAGTTTGAGCGTAATACTTTGATAGTCTGCAAAAAAAAAATATGTAATTTGCCGTTAACTAACCAAAAGTATTCAATAATACCAACAGTAAGAATAAAAATAGAAAATAACAATAATCTTAATCATTTGTGCACATGGCAATCCAATACAAAAGTAAGAACAATCTTAGTTTTCTTAGTAAACGGTAGAATGATGTGATTGTGTGACAAAACTAAGACGTTTTGTTCATTTCACATATTTATTCTTTCCAATTTTAACCCTATAAAGTTTGGTCAGTAGGGTTTGGTCAGTAGGGGGTCAGAGGTTTGGGCTCACCGCACAGCCTCAAACTTCGCCTACAAACACAACCATTGGCTCACAAGCTGCTGAACGCTGTGTTTCTTTTGGAAACATCTTCATGAATCAGAGCGTGTTATATGTAAATGTGTAAATGAGGCATTGGTATGCTGGCGCTTGATTTCACGCACTGATGCTGACTGCGCTCAAATCTCCGCTCGTTTCCGTGCCGTATAAAAGTTTCATGAATCAGATGCAGAGTGGTTTAAAGATGGTCAAATCTGTGCTCTTTTTTATGCAACTTCGATGGATAAGGGCCACTGTGAACAGCAGCTGTCTCTGCATACACTGCAAATGTGAATTACATTCAGTTTTTAACATAAGCATAATTTACAAGTCTTTGAAAGATAGGCAAGTATTTTATTCCGTCTGCCTATCTGTAAATACACAAACTCTAATGAAATTTTTCTGAAGGGCAGTATTCGTAAGGTTATATGTCACCTACATAAGCTTCTCAACTGACATAAACCTACATAAA